AGAACAACTCAAAATATTTGGTGRAAGCCTCTTCCAAACCACCATAAACCAAGCTTAGAACTTTTGTCTTTCCCCATCTAGACATGTTTCAGGTAAGACCTTAGAAAAGAGGAATACTTTGTTAGGACATTAYTAAATCAGAAATATTGTGGCATGCAGGGAGTATGTGAATAATGATAATTTTTGTTTGAAAACTTTCACCTACCTCTTTAAATTCTTCATTATTATTAAAGAATGCTTATTTATTTGTGTTTGAGACAGGGTCTTGCTATGTTGCCCAAGCCTAGAATTTCTGTGCTAAAATGATCTTTTTGCCTCTGCCTCCCAAGTATCTGGGACTTCAGACACATAATACCATTTTTGGCACAAAGACAWTACTTTTTAGAAGAGACTGACAAGAACAAAAGTTAAGTATTCACCAGCTGGTCCATAACCAATTATTCTTAGCCTGGAATGCTCAAGTAGAAATGACCAAATCAAAGCTCCTTCAAACATGCTAACTGGAACAACATATATACAGATGGAAAGATAATGGAAAGTCCTTGTCTTTGAAATGCTTTTAGCTGGGTACACTTGGGTTGTCCAGATGGCTTAAAGCACAAAGACTTAGTATTTACAGAGAAACATATAATGGCCCAGTAGAAAAATGTCAGTGTCAGCTGTATGCTTACATAAGTATAAAATGGAGAGAGGGCATGACTGAAATAGCTGTGCTTGTGTAAGGGCTAGCTGGCATACCTCATCTAGAAACCTCATTGCTAGGTCATAGGTCAGAGTGTGTTCTTAGGAGGTAGAGGGAAGATGGGTTGGCAGTTTCAGACATCTTATTTCCTTGTGACTGGGTAAAAGTGCTGATTCTTGTTGGCCTGATTAAAAAATCTGACACTTTGTTTTTATCTCAGTAAGATGTATTAAATGTTAAAAATTATTTTCACRTTTTTAAATATAAGCTATTATTTTCTGCTAATCTCAAGCACTGTTTCAGCATAAGCAGATCCAAGTTGTATGGTGGATACACTCCACAAAGTTATTTAGTATTTAGGAAAATCCCTTTGGCAAGCCATCTAGAGTTAAGATGAGCCTCCAAGACATAGACAATAAAGGACAAATGAAAAGAATACAGAATTAGTTGTTGTTGTTTTATTCTAAAAACACAAAATTAGGGAAAAAGTGAATAAAAAATTACAAATTTTAAAAAGCTGATATACTACAGACACCACAAAATCCAGAAAAAAAACCCATAATTCTTACATTACTTAGGTGATTGAAAAATATCATGATACCTTTTTTTGACTCTTTACTATTAAATAAAATTTATGGGAGAACAAGGATTTGAATTGAGCGTCTGCCCTAGAGTTTAATCACAGTAACAGCTTTAGTTGGTTGCAGAAGTCCCTGTAGCCAATTAACTAATTAGGCTGCAAACAACTAGTTAAGCTGTAGCTAACTAAGTTCACTTCTGTTTTTCTAAAAACGCTGTCAGATCACATTGTTGAYTRAATTTTTATGATACTATTATAGTTGTAGGATGCTTATTCAAAAAGTATTTACCCAAATTTAGAACATATGTAATACAAATAATAATCATTCAATATAGGATACATCTTTAAAACTGCTTTAGTTATAATTTACATATTATAAATTTCACTCATTTTGAATATTCTATTCAATAAATTGTTYTATATTTACTGAGGCAGATATCTATCATTACAATCTAATTTTAGAACATTCTAACCTAAAAACTTTCTGCCCATTTATAGTCATTTACCATTACCAACTCTAACCCTTAGCAACCACTCAGGTACTTTCTCCTCAAATTTGCCTTCTTAAAAAAAATCATACAAAAGACTCATACAAATTCATGTCTGATTTATTTCACTGAGCACAATGATTTTAAGGTTCAGCTATGTTTATCATATATCAATACTTTATTCATTTTTGTGGCTGAACAATATTCAATTGAATGGATACAYTGTATTTAAAAAAATCCATCCTTCAGTTGATGAATATATGGACAGTTTTTACTTTTGATCTAATGCTTCTGTGAACATTTGTGTACAAGTATTTGTATTATTAAAAAATATTTTACATATTCTATTTTCAAAATGGTCAGGGGTCAATATCAATTCCATTCAAATTTTAATTTTTAACAATGTAAGCTAAAAAATTCTGTGTACCTAAATAAAGTAAGTAGCAGCAGAAGAGGTTTTATAACAGCATCAATCAATTATTTGAATCAAAAAATTGAAGACTTGCTCTCAAACTTCCACCTAAGATTGGAATTGCTAAGTTATATGGTACTTCTATGTACCAACTTTTTTAAAAAAGGAAAAACTGTTTTCCAAAAAATGATTGCATCATTTTACATTCCTAACAACAATGCATGTGGGTTTCAGTTTCTGAACATTGTTTCCAAACCTGTCACTTTTATTATTATTATTATTATTATTATTATTATTATTATTGTCATGTTAATGGGTAAGAAATTATCTTATAATAGTTTTAATTTGCTTTTCCCTAAAGACTAATGATGTCATCTTTTCATGGGTTTTTTGGTCATTTGTACATCTTCTTTGAAGATTTGGTCATTTCTACATCTTCTTCCTCATTTTCATTTGTTACTTTCTTAAATTATTGAATTGTAAATGTTGTTAATATATACAAGTCAAAAATAGTGATTTGCAGGTATTTTCTCATATACTGTGTTTCCCTTTTCCTGATAGTATATTTTTCAAGAGCAAAAGTGTAATTTGATGAAGTCCAATTAAACTTTTTTTCTTTTATCACTTAGGCTTTGGAGGTCATATCTAAGAAATCATGTCCTAACATGTTCATGAAGTTAATTTCATAATCTGGGAAGTTATATTTTCTTCTAAGAGTTTTATCATTTTAGTTCTTACATTTAGGTCTAGGATCTATTTTTGGTATATGGCATGAGATATTCGTGCAAATTCACCTGTTTGCTTAAATATCTGATTGACCATTTGTTTAAAATATTTTTCCCATTGGATTTTCTTGTCACCTTTGTTAAAACTTAGTTGGCTATAAATGCAAGAACATATTTGGGGGATATTAATTCTAATATAATGATCAATTGTATTCCATATGACTTTACTCACACTAGCACCACACTGACTTTATTACTGCAGTTTTAGTCAGTTTTGAAACTGGAAAGTGTACGGACCTACCATTTGTTTTTAAGATTGTTTTGGCTATTCTAGGTCATTTGCATTTCCATGATTTTATGAATTTTAGAATCAGTTAACAAYTTCTGCCTAAGTCTTCTGGGATTTTTACAGGGATTATGTTGAATCTGTGTATCTATTTGAGGAGTATTACCATCTCAATATTAAATCTTTCAATTCAAGAGCATGGAGTATCTTTTCAATTCAATTCTTTCAGTCAGGGCTGGGATTGTGGCTCAGCAGTTGAGCGCTCCCCTAGCAAGGAYAGGACTGGGGTTCAATCCTCAGCACCACGTAAAAAAATAAAGACATTGTGTTGAGTCCATCTACACCTAAAAAAATAAATATTAAAAAAAATTCTTTCAGTCATATTTATAGTATTCAGTGCACAGGTCTTTTACTTATTTTGCTAAAATTATTTCAAAGTACATTATTCTTCCTGAAGTATTGAGAGTGGAATTTTTCTTTCTTTTTTTTTTTTTTTTTTTTTGTACCAGGGACTGAAACCAGTGGCACTTAACCACATTTAAGTTTTTGAGTCACAATCTTTTAAATTTTTGAGACACAGTTTCCCTAAGTTGCTGAGGCTGGCTTTGAACTTGTTATCTTCTTGCCTCAGCCCCCAAAGCCACTTGTATTATAGGTGTGTGCCACCCTGCCCAGGTTGTGAATAGAATTCTTAATTTCATTTTCAAATGTTCATTGCCAGTGTATATAAATATTATTAATTTACGTATGTTTAACTTGCAACCTTGATGAACTCATTTATTACTTTTAGTACTTTTGTAGTAAATTCTTTTGGGTTTTCCATATATAATGACTTCACATATAGAAACTTCCATTTTAAGCACTAATCTTTATGGACAAAGGAAATTTTAAAAATTAGAATTAGACTTATTTTTATGCAGAGAAGTATAGTAGATGATCAATAAAAGATTTCCAAGAAAAAATAAATATTATGTTAAGAAAAAATTTCACAGAGTGGAATGAAGTGGGAGTTCAAGGTATGAAGTAAAATTTTCTCCTAATAAAGAAAATTGTGTACATGCAGTATTAAAACTTGATGATATGATTTTAAATTGGTATTTTAGAACCCATCAACTACATTTAAAAGTTATGYGACTTTTATTTTAAAATGTCAACCTTTTCAACTAATTAAGTGAGATTACACATTTTGATGGTCAATCTAAAATTGTGACAGAAGGTACACAACTACAGTTTGTTTCAGGAGTTTCTGTAGGGTTGGTTATTAAAGAAAAATCATTTCAAATCTTTGAGTTGATACACACTACCCTATCAGGGTTTGCTCTTTTAAGATAAATGTTACCTTTCTGAGATTTGAGGGAACTACCAAATGACTCCCAATTTYGAAAGTAACAGATCCTCCTCCCACATCATCCAATAGCCCCTAYCGTTAATTAATTTTGATTGAGGGAAGCAATATCTCATCTGAAACAAGCCACTGCCTTAATACAAGTTACGTAATTATATTTAAACATTTAAGGAACTACAAATAGACTTTTTAAAGTCAAGCTTATTCAAAAGTATTAATCTGCCATCTATAGCTTTTTACTAACTTTAAGAACTTCTGAAGAGAAGTAAAGCATGTTTACTTAGAYTTTTCCCTTTTAGMATTCTATAAGCCCAGTGGTATTGTCTTATCATCAGAAATCTTATGTTTTCCACGACATTGGTACAAATGTTCTAACCTATTGAGACCCTTAGGCGGGCAAACCATTCTCTGGGTCCTGTAGTTATGAGGGCTGGGCTCCGGACCTGCAGATCAGCCTTTGTTCCCAGGTGCACAGCGCCTGCGGCTCCCTCCAGCGGCCACAAACTGTCACGATCCACTGCTGTTTTCCTAGAGTCTGCAGATGTCTCCGTTTCGTGGGGCTAGTAGAGATTGCGCAGGCGCAAGGGCGGYCGACGTGGCCGCGGAGACCCTGCTTAGGGGGTCGTGTTGAGTGGCTGACTCACGAGGTTCTCCTGGGTTTCCTACCCTYGCTCCCTCCTCTCGCTAAGGTTTTACGGTGGTTCCTGGGTTCAAAGCCGACTGACGTCCTCCCCTGCACCGTTTGGAAGGTCAGAGAGCGCAGAACCTACTCTGGGAGGGCTGGTGACGAGTGCGTGGGAAAGACGCCCGCGTGGGCGTCACGTGGCGGCGAGGAGGCGGCKCGTGACGTGGCGCGCGCGGCCTGGAACGCTTTGTGAGCCGCCGACGCGCGCGGGCACTCGCAGCCTCTGGACTGTGGCTTGCGGAGCCCCGGGTTGCGGCGGCCAGGCGGGGAGCTCTCTGGACGGTGCCGTAGCGCCCGAGGTCTGGAAGGCACAGGTGGGGCGGCGGCGAGCGAGTCGCCCCCGCGCGGACCCCACGCTGCCTGGCTGGCGGCCTGGCGCCCGGGGTCGGGTGGGCTCGGCCTGGCGGGCAGGTGTGGGAGGGCTGGAAGCGGGGCCTAGGAGGCCGGCCCGGTGTCCAGGTCTCAGCGAACTTTCGTCACAGGGTGCCATTTCTGGGGAGAGCAGTTCGAGAAGTTCTAAGTGAATCCCCATCCCCTGTTTAAGGAATCGTCGGCCTCCCTTCCCGCCCGTCTGACTGTCGGGACGGTGCGCACCCTCCCGCCCCCGCCACTCCCAGACCGCGGTCCTCGCGGGTTATCAGTTGGCTGTTGTGCAGCCCCAYCTCCGCTCTTCACCGCGACTTCCCCTCCCTCAGCGTTCTCGGCCTCCCGAGGGTTGGAAGCGTGTCTTTAGCTCAGACTCCACAACCAACAGTGATTATATTGGGAATGCATAACGTGGGGCTTTACTCTTTCGAATACTTTGGTTGATGTTYGCTAGGGGCTGAGCGCCGCAGAGGATCTCTGACCTAGTTCTGTGTCTGGAAAGTTTCTCTCGGAATGCGCGCCGTAATGACAAGGCATTATTGCGTTACTGTAGGGTTGGCCTGTTTCCCACTCCCTTTTCCACTCCGGTGGATTGCTGTAGTAGTCTTTTGAGGATCCTCGAGGTTTGCTAATTTGTTACTGCTTCAAATATTTAAGAGTTTAACATTTTTTGAAGTTGACAAAAGAAAAATAACRGCAACATATTCACCCCCCCACCCCCCCCACCCCCCGTCAAAGAATGAATATTCCAGTTTCTGATTCCCTCCCTTTTGGGTTCACTTAATTTGGTGGTTTCATATGACCCCTTTGAAACAGGAAGCCTTTATACTATGTGGTGCTTATTGAAACAATTTGCCCAGCAAGCCAGAATAGGGTAAGATGGAGTAGGATGTTACAGAGGGAATTGCATACAGATAATACGAAAAAAACACTCTCATTTTATTTCTCCACCCCMCCCTCCCCACATCACTAGGAGGAATGAGTGATTTTTTTTTTAAAAGATCTGTTGCGCAGAATGGTGAATATAGCTAATTGAGTGTTGTACATTTCAATATTAGATAAAGCCTCAAATGTTTTCATTTTAAAAATTATCAAATATTTGAGGTGATTGATAAATTAGATTTAATCATTCCATATTAAAAACCCAAATATACCATCACTTCATACCTCATAAACACATACAACTGATTTGTCAATATATAATTTAAATAATAAAAAGTAAATTTTAAAGAAAAAACCCTGTTTCTTTTTAAAAGGGCCAGATTGGCTGGCAGGCATACATTAGACTAACTTCTGCTAGCTCTAGGGAGATTAAATGCTGTATTATTAAAAAACTATTTGGCAATTTTGCTTGTTAAACATAATTGTTTACTACCTTCATTATTTATGGGATTGAATTAAGTTGCCAAGTATTTTGGTTCAGAATTTTACCTCTGCAAGCGTGAGGGGTTTTTAAGGCATATACATATAGTTATATGTGAAATTAAATGCCTTTTTTACTTCTTTTATTAGAAGGTTTAAATAATATAACAAGTTTATCATAGTATTTGGTAATCGATTTTGATTTGTCATATGACTATTATACTAGTGAAGGTACTCTATTTAATACCTTAGGTTGACTTTTCAAAGACTTTTCCAACACTGAAAATTAAAGCATGTGAAATCATTTTTTACCTTTTCAAGATACTCAATAACTACTTAGGAATATGGTAGGCCCCTGCTTTCTTGATATTCTTTTACTCTTATCTTTCTTGTACCTTAAGAAGGAGGAAGAATGTAGAATGTTTTCCCATGATTTTGGAAGGAAGAGGGGGTTTGGGTCTGTGTAAAGGGAAGACATTTCGATGACACAGCAATAGGTGTAATTCCAGGGAGAGGGGGTTATCAGGGTTCTTTTGTTTTTTAGGAGGGTGGGTACAGGGGTTTGAACTCAGGGGTCCTCACCCACTGAGTCACATCCCCAGCCTTTTAGATATTTTTAATTTAGAAATAGGTTCTCACTAGGGCCTCCAGAAGTTTTAGCCCTATTGTTGTATACCACAAACACTTAAACTTTCTATCTATCCATATTCCATCTTTCAAAATGGTTCTTCCATAATTTTGCTAACATCAAGATTCATCAAGATTCACATTATGAATTGTTACCTTGAATTATTCACATTCTCGTTATTATGACACTAATCAAAACTGGAACTTAATACCCAATGGTTACTTTTTGTTTCTAGTTTAGTCATCTTGTTTTCCCCGGAGTTAATAATTGTCTTGATAATTATTTCCTTAATTATCCATGTATTTGTCACAAAGTAAACTTTGAATCCTCTTACAATTAATACTATTTTTCTCAGAAATTAAAAGTATATTAAGTCATCTGTCAATTTTATTTTCTTGAAGAAATCTTTTCTGGAGTTATTTCTACCCTAATCTGAATAGGTTGCATCTTGAGAATTTTCCATCATGAGTCTTGGTTGGGATACCTTTCTCCAAACATGGAATCCCAGAAATAGGTTCTAGTAGCTGGGCAGTCATTTGGCTGGGCTTGAAGTATTTTTACTAAGAATTATGAATAAATTTTACCATTTTATTTTAAATTTTACTTGTTGCCTTGAGGAAGTTCCTTTATACTCTTATTTTTCTTTTTTTAAGCTTTTTAAGAGGGTCCCTTTGAGCCCAGTTTTCTGAAATTTCATTGTATGTTCCTTGATGTGAATCTTTTTTCATCTGGAAATTTATGTTTTCCAGTTATGGTAAATTCTGTGAATTATTTATACTACTCTTTCATCCCTTATTTTTTTGGCTATTCTTTTTTTCTGAAAGTTTTAGTTTTCAGATGTTGAACTTTCTGGATTTTCTTACCTATTTTTTCTTTCTTTTTTAAATCTCTTTGCTCTGCTTCTGCACATTTTTGCATGATTTTATAGCCTTTTTTTATTTGTTTAATACTGGGGAGAGAACCCAGAGTTGCYCTGCCACTGACCTATATCTCCATCTCCTTTTATTTTTTTGAGACAGGCTCTTACTAAATTGTCTCGGCTGGCCTTGAACTCATGATCTTCCTCAGCCTCCAAAGTAGCTTGAATTACTGTGCCACCACTCCCAGCCTATAATCTTTATTTTTTTATTCCTCTACTGATTTTTTCTTTCTAGCTATATTTTTATTTAATTTCACTTCCTCTTTGGGGTGCATTTTCATCTTATTTTTATTTTATGGATTCAGTATTTCTGCATGTGGTTATAAATGATAGGGTTTAATTTTTTTCCCTGCATGTCGTTCTTTTCATCCAAATGCATCATTTTCATTTTTATCTTTAATGTTAGAAGTTTTCCTCACTTTTGTGATACTTGACTGTTTGCATGTGTGTGTATGTACACATACAGAGACACACAGACTTATTCAGGGGAGAATAAGAGAGAGAGCCGCTTGAGCCACATCCAGACCCTACATGGATGCTTGTTGTCATGGATGATACTGAACCCTATATATACATTATTTTTCCTATACATATGTGTCTGTGATAAAGTTAACTTAAAACTTAGGCATAATAAAAATTAACAAATGATAATAAAATAGCAGGATTATAATATATCTTGATAAAAGTTATATGAATGTGGTCTTTCTTAAAATACAGTGCAGTTTATTCACCCTTTTGTTGATGTGAGATGGTACATTGTCTGTGTGATGAGATGAATGACATAGGCATTTAATGTGGTATTATTAGGCTACTATTTAAGTTCTGATGTATTGATAGACTCTAGATGTATCCTCTGCTTTGGGTGATCCTGGACCATCGAATCATGACTATGTTGATTAGTGGATGTCAGGAGTTGATGATGTCCATGTTTAGGGTCCTTGGTAGTCCAGGTGGTCTTTTACTGAGAACTGTTCAGAAGAATATTAATTAGAAATTTTTGTATGGCCTTCCATATTTTATGCCACGGTGCTTCCTTTGCACTTGTAGGACTTCTTCAAGAAGAAAGTGGTTTCACCGGGAGCAGTGGCCCACATCTGTGATCCCAGTGGCTCAGGAGGCTGAGACAGGAGGATTGAGAGTTCAAAGCCAGCCTCAGCAAAAGTGAGGTGCTAATTAACTCAGTGAGACCATGTCTCTAAATAAAATACAAAGTAGGGGTGGGGACGTGGCTCAGTGGTTGAGTGCCCCTGAGTTCAATCCCTGGTAACCCTCCCCATCAAAAAATAAATAAATAAATCAAACAAACAAACAAAAAAACCAGAGTGGTTTCATYGCAGTTGAAGAATTGTGTTGGATGGTATCCCATTTTCCTTAATTGACTTCTTCAACTCTTTGTAGCAGCAATTTCTCATCAGCACATGCAGTTTGGCCCAAAGCTAATGTTGAATCTGTGTAACTACTCCTTATTTGCATTAAGTGATTTTTGATATTTTTTTTTAGGGAATCCCTTGCTATAGCAAGACTTAYTAAGTCTTTCTATAGACTCAGTGCTTTCTATTGCAACATACTGCCAGTTAGTCAGGACACATTGTGTTCATGTCTTCCACCCATAAATTTAATGATTTTTCTGTCTTAACTCAGCACTTATTGCACACTGTAGCTGTAATTTTTGAATTTAGAGATATGACAGAATACTGGCATGAATATCTTTTTCCTTCTTTTTAATTGCATAGATAGAAGAAGATTCATTATTACCATAGATCTTAGCAACCTCAACATTGATTTTTTTTGTTGTTGTTTATTAAGCTGGGAACTTTTTCACTTATATTAAGCACTTTTACAGCTTCTTTTTGGTACAGCCAAATTTTTACCAGCACAACTGCTTTGTGCTTTGGGGCCATTATTAAGTAAAATAAAAGTTACTTAAATATAAGCACTATAGTACTGAGGTTGATCTGATAACCAAGATGGCTACTAAATGATGGGCAAATACATGGATATGCTGGCCAGAGAGATTATTCACATTTTTGGTGGGTTGGAGTGAGATTTTGTAACACTACTCAAAACAGTGCACAGTTTAAAACTTATGAATTCTTTCTGGAATTTTCCATTTAATATTTTCAGAACATGGTTAACCTTATGTAACTTAAACCATGGAAAATGAATCTGCAGATTAGGGAGAACTGTACATATTTTGGCGCACACACATACACACACACACACCCCTACCTGCAAATGGAATTGCTGGGTCATAGAGTAAATGAATGTTCAGCTTTAATAAAATTGCCTGTTTTCCAAAGTGGTGTGCCATTTTTTCCAGCAGCAAAGTTTCTTTCTTTCTTTTTTTCTTTTTTCTTTTTGTGGTGCTGGAGTTTGAACCCAGGGCCTTGTGCATCGAGTACTCTACCAGCTGAGCTGTATTCCCAGATCTTCATTTATGTTTTTCTAACAGTTTTTAAATTTTTGCCATCTGAAAATCACTGCGGATTTTAGTTTTATTTTCCTGAGAAATAATGTGTTGAACACCTTTTCACGTGGCTTTTGAGTCTTTGTGTGTGTATGTGTGTGAGAAATGCCTGTTAATTTCTTTTTCTCATTATGAAAAATAGGCATGCCATTTTAATAATCTTTAAAGTCAGTAAGGTTGGGGAGGGAATAATGCTAACTATACATAATTGAAATTTTTCTCATTTGTCCTTTCTAAAGTATGATTCAACTCATTTTTTATTAGCTAATCTAGATTTATATTAACAATGAATTTCAGAATGAGATTCTTTTGTTCCAATGCTAAATTTTGACATAGAGAATTATTTCATTTATTGTAAGAAACAAGAACAAAAAATTACTTACTAGATATATTTTGATGTATTCTATTCTGTTTTTTAACTAATAAGATATTTGGACCCAAGAGCCTTTATCTGTTCATCAGCTACATATTGAATGTTTTCTCTGTGTCAAAACTAAGAGTAAGCTTAGGGGATGCCATAGTGAACAAGACAGAGAAAACTGTCCTCTTTAAATATATTCAGGTAGATGAGGTGGATACTAGAGAAGTAAACAGTTAAGCAAGATAATTACGAATGTTTTCTATTTTGCAGTTATGGAGCAAGAGCCACAAGATGGAGAACCTGCTGAAATCAAGATCATCAAGGAAGCATATAAAAAAGCCTTTTTATTTGTTAATAAAGGACTGAATACAGATGAATTAGGTCAGAAGGAAGAAGCAAAGAACTACTATAAACAAGGAATAGGACACCTGCTCAGGGGAATCAGCATTGTATCAACTGAAGCTGAACACACAGGCCCTGAGTGGGAATCTGCTAGACAAATGCAACAGAAAATGAAAGAAACACTACAGAATGTACGCACGAGGTTAGAAATTCTAGAGAAGGGCCTTGATACTTCTCTGCGGAATGACCTTCAGGAGGTACCTAAGTTATATCCAGAATTTCCACCTAAAGACATAGGTGAAAAGTCACCAGAGCCTCAGTCCTTTAATTTACCTCTTCAGCATGCTGAAGTAGATGGAAACACTTCAGCCTTAAGTGCAGGGTTAGTGGCTACACCTCCTTTGTCCTTACCATCTCCAGGCTGTCCATCAGAAGCTCCTCCTGCTTATACTCCTCAGGCTGCAGAGGGTCACTATACTGTGTCCTATGGAACAGATTCTGGGGAGTTTTCGTCAGTGGGAGAAGACTTCTATAGGAATCATTCTCAGCCACCTCCTCTTGAGACCTTAGGGCTAGATGCAGACGAGTTGATTTTGATACCAAATGGAGTACAGATTTTTTTTGTAAATCCTGCAGGGGAGGTTAGTGCACCTTCATATCCTGGGTACCTTCGAATTGTGAGATTCTTGGATAATTCTCTTGATACAGTTCTAAACCGTCCTCCTGGGTTTCTTCAGGTAAGTCAAAGGAAAACATAAAACATAATTTCAAATACATTTAGACATCTACATATCATATATATAAAATGACATCTTTGCATCATTTTTGACAACATTTATAATGTATCTAGGATTGTAAGACAAGTGAAAAAATATTTAAGTTCTACTTTCTTCTTAAATGTATTTATGAGCTTTGAACATCTACATTTCTGTTTGATTTTCTTTTCCTTTCTTTTTTTTTTTTTTTCATTTTTTAAGATAATGAGGTCTTGTTTTGGTATTTGTGATGATAGGACCTAAGGAACATCAGAGTGTTTATTCTTAAGTTTTTAATTCTTTACCTGGAGTTACCTAGTAACTTTAATTTCAAGTTATGTAATATATACAAGTTATGTATGTAATTCATGTGGCTGTGTAATTGTAAATATCCACAAATGTTATCAAGACCCAGCTGAGCGTCTGACCTGGGCTAGAATCAGCACTGTCTAGAGTAGTAGTTCTCAACTAGGAGCAATTTTGCCCCTCCAGGAAACTTTTGAGTACATCTGCAGACATTTTCAGTTATTGCAGCTAGAGAGTGGTTGCTGCCAGCATCGTGGTTAAGGATAGGGATGTTGCCAAACATCTACACAGGATGGCTACTAAAGCATTAAAAAAAAAAAAAAAAAAAAGATCCAGCCCAAAATCTAACATAAAGTTAGAAACTACAGATGAGTTTACCAGAATGTAGTTGGTCCAAGTGCAAAGACTGCCACTAAATAATAGTTAATGTTAGAAGCATTGCTGTGGATTTAGTGAGGTATTCTGTGGTAGTTCAATACCACCTGCTTTTAAAAGGTTGCATGTAGAAACAAGGGAGATAGACTCTTGAAATAAGAACTTGTTATACATTGAGTATAACAAAGGAGTTTGCATCAATGAGAAATCACTATTTAAACAAAGTATTTTCACCCAAAGTTCAGATTATGTGGCTTAGTTATAGCACTATTTTTTTCTTATGTATACTAAGTTCTTTTTTAAAGATATGTAGCTTTTACATGGAGTTAACTTGAATGTTGTTTAAAGAACCTAGAAGTTATTAAGAAATTAATATTTTTTAATTCAGGATAAATTAGTTGCCAAAATATAATGATGAAGAGTTAATTGCTAGAATTTTTCAGTTTTATGTGGCAGCATTCTCCCCACCTCCAAAATCTCTTGACTGTTTTTCCTCCATTGAGACTAAATCTCATCTGGATTGAATTATCTTCACTTAGAAAATTGGTATGTTATAACTGATGTTAYTGAAAGTTGCCCCAACCCCTTAAGGGTTTTTCTTAGAAAGAATTGGGGCTATCTAGTTCAAATAGTCAAGGTGACAATGAATTTTAAAGAAATTGTAGTAAAGTACATAAAGATTTTCACAAACTTTGGTCATTTTACAATAATCTACAATTTTTTTTTGTCAAAAATATAAYCCTATTACTTTGTTAATATTTTTATTTTMACTTGTTAATTTCATCAAACCAGTAACAACTGAAATCAAGGAAAGGATGTTTTTTTTTCTTGGTACATATTAAAATACATRGCTACTCAAATATTAAGAGTTTGTGAATTACCCAACGTCATTTTGGAAGACTGTACTTTTTTTGTAGCTGTCTGAAGTTTGACTTTTATAAAAGAAGTGACTTTTGGGATGAATAGAAAAGAATATGTGAAATAAAAAGAATTTTAAAGTGCTTATTAGGCACTTTCTAGGAGTCACTTGAGTATTCTAGTTCTTGCMTGTTTTTATTTTGTTGGTTAGAGATGATGGTAGTGTATCAGAGTTTTCCATCTTTCATATGAAATTTCTCATGCTCTTTGACTTACATTCATCACACATTGTTTTAATAAATTGGCTTTCCAATTTTCTTTATGATAATAGTGTTCTGGAAGTTGTGCACAATAAAATTTTGGTTACTGAAAGAATGTTAACATATTAGAAATGAATGCATTTGGAAATTCTGATTTAAAATTAATCTCGTGAATTTAGATAGCCATGATTTGAATTTAAGTCAAAGTGTATTGATAAACTGCCCTCCCCAGATGGCATTGCAGGAACACTTTGTGTTATTTTGTCTTAATTTCATAATACATAGTGAGTACACAAACATATCTTAATCTCTTCTAGCTCTGTCATGGTAGGTTCTCTTGGRGTTTAAAAAATTTTTTTTTACATTATGAGTGCTGGGTTTTTAATTAAAACAGTTCTTTTCTTTTCTGATTCAGACTGCATGATCTCAAATCCTACCTTCACTTTTTAATTGTTGACCCTTTAGCAAATTAGTTAACCTATTGGTGCTTCAGTGTCAATGTGCAAAAAAATTACAATAATACTGCTTTGAAATAAAAACTAAGTGCCTATCAGTTGATGAATTGATAACATATAGTATATAAGCACAATGTAATACTATTCACTGCAAAAAAGAATGAAACCCTGTCATTTGTGTCAGTATTGATGGAACCTAGAGGTCATTAAGTGAAGTGAAATAAGCCAGGCACAGAAAGACAGGAACCAGGATTTCCCTGATGTGGAATCTAAACATGTTGATCTCATGGAAGTTGAATGGTGGTTACCAGAGGGCTACAAATGAGGGTGAGGTTGGGAGAGGGATGAGGTAGGATTGATCGATGGGTACCAAATTATAGTTAGGAGCAAGAAATTCTGGTATGCTATTGCATTGTAGGGTAACTACAGATAATAATATAATGTACATTGCAAAAAAGCTAGAAGAAAGGATTTTGAAAGTTTTTAGCATAAAGAATGATAAATATTTGAGGAAATAAATGTTTGACCTGATTTGAACATTGTGCAGGGTATATGTGTATTGAGATATTATATGGTACCCTGTTTTTATATTTTCATGTTATCATTAAATACCTATTTCATAGGATTGTTTTAAATTAGTAAATAACATGTGTAGTACTGGAAAACAGTTTGAGTTTGTACATTTCCACAAAGGGATATCTAATTTGAATAATTAATTCACTTTGATTCTTACATTTAAAGCTAGAAGCATATTGGTAGCACTGGACTATTTAAGGCCTTCAGTTTTAAAACCATTATTAGGGGAGCAATAGCATTTTTAACGTTTTCTTGCAGGAACATCAGATTAGCAAATGATTAATTTTCATTAGGTATTTATTGATGTTGATGGTTCTATAAAATCTTTTAAAATGTGTTTTAGACTTTAAAATGTTTGTTTTATAACAATTTTATTATAACATAGATAAAAATTATTCCATTTATTGATAATTTTTTTTACCTAATTCTTTCAGGTTTGTGACTGGTTGTACCCTCTGGTTCCTGATAGATCCCCAGTTCTGAAATGTACTGTAGGTGCCTATATGTTTCCTGATACAATGTTACAAGCAGCAGGTTGCTTTGTGGGAGTTGTCTTGTCTTCTGAGTTACCAGAAGATGATAGAGAACTCTTTGAGGATCTGTTAAGACAAATGTCTGATCTTCGGCTCCAGGTAATTTGTATTATAGTCATTAGGGTAAAAAAATCTATTTTAACATAAGCACTTCTGCTTTTAAAGAAATTATTACAACATCTGATGTGATAAGAGTTAGAAGATAAGAATATATATTTTCCTCTGTGTTCATAATTTCATGCTGGGAATTTGCTGTAAATAGTGGATAAGATTGTGGAATTCACCTTTTTCCACTTAATATTTCTTTAACTCRGCTCTCACTGAGCTTATATGGACTTTAATGTCCTCTTTCCTTAAAATGGAGATGTTAAATGCAATCAATCCCAGATAACTGTCAACATTCATAATAAAAAATATTTTACCCCTCTTGGCAAACAGTATGTTTTAAACTTCATGGTGCTGTGGTAAACTTTAAAGCATTTATATTAATAGTAGCAAGTGGTTATGCTCTGTGAATGTTAGCTGTTGTTTCCTTTARTATGTTATTGCTTGGTTGGAAAAATGGACTAATTGGTGCCAAATGAAATGAAGGTAATTTTAGCCTTAGCTGATAAGTTGTTAGACATAAGACGTCTGATTGGTGTTTTACAAATAGATATCAATTGAGTAAATTGTCTTTGTTCTCATGGTATGTGAAGGCCAAATGAAAAGAAAAGAACATGTGATTTAAAATATGATCATCCAAGGAGCTCCAGTGGCGCAATCGGTTAGCGCGCGGTACTTATAAGATAAAATATGATCATCCTGTGAAGTTTCCTTATTTAATCTGTTTCTTCTGCCCACACATTTACCTTTCATTGGAAGGTTGAAATAGACTCATCTGAGGTTTTCCAATGTTTTGCTCATCTACTGTTTGACAAGAGGGGAAAAATATTTTTTTATTATGAATGTTGAYAGTTATCTGGGATTGATTGCATTTAACAGCCTGGTAGTATAATTTTTTGTTCTTCCCTTTGGTCAGCAAACATTTGGAATCCATTATTTAACCTGTTTTTTTATTAAATGGTGAGATGGGAAGTCATCAGGACAAATAGAAAGATATATATGTGTGTGTTTGTGTGCATATATGTGTGTATATGTATACATGTGTGTTTGTACATATATGTATGTGTGTATGTACATATTTAATACCTATTTTCAGGTACCTGAGAATGACCTGGTGATCAAGGGCAGTACTTAAGAATAACCAATAGTTCTTAATATATGTTAGCAAACACATGATCACTTGTATAGAAATGTGTAGCCTTGGTGTGTTCATGGGGAAGAATTTACAGACTCAGGAAAATGAGCTGTACTTATATTACTGGGCTTTTGAAAAGAAATTAAATAGACTTTATGTTATAGTATATGTAATTTTCTCTAATTTTAGTTTTTGGTTGTATGTTATTTTTACTTTGCTATATTGTTCCAGAACCTCAACTGTAAACAAAAGGTAATAGCCATAATTTTTATTTGTTTTGACTTTAAAGCATTCATTCAGCAAGGTGTATGCTGATAGAATACCTGTTATATTAAATGCAGAAAATAAAAAAGTCAGCTTTTAACAATGCAGAGTGGACATGAGTTTTGTTAATTGCCTCTAAACTCAATTTTAGTCTTGTATATACTTCCTAAAATTTATTATTGGTTACCTAATTAAACATAATTATCATATCTGATTTAAAGATAACATACTAAAATCTGTTACCATTATGCTTTGTTTTTTGAAATTTATTATAGATTATATGTGTAAACATCATTAGAGATTTGAGGTTTGATGATGAGGTAAAAAAGTTTAGGGAAGAGAAAAATAGTTGTTTATAGACTGTCAAACACTGATTTTTGCATAATTGTATCATGAGAGTATGATCTAATGCATCTGGAGGAAAGTCATCTTTTTAACAAATGGTGTTAGTAAAACTGGTTATCTATATGTAGAAGAATGAGAATAGATTCTTATCTTTCACCCTATACAAAAGTCAACTCAAAATAGATCAAAGACCTAGGAATTAAAAGAGAAACTATGCAACTCCTAGAAGAAAATGTAGGGTCAACAATCCAACATATAGGCACAGCTTTCCCAGTAGGATCCATCAAGCTCAGGAAATAATAATCAGAAATTAGTAATTGGGATTGCATCAAATTTAAAAAAAAAAACTTCTGTACAGCAGTCTAGCAGGAATGTAAAGAGAAAAGCTACTGAATGAGAGAAAATCTTTGCTAGCTCTTGTTCTGACAGAGGAGTAAAATCCGAAATATATAAAGAACTCAAAAAACATGGAAAAATTAGTAAATAGGCAAATGGACAAAATAGACACTTCTCAAAAGAAATACTAACGGCTAATAAATAAATATGAAAATATCTTCAGCTTCCTTAGCAGTTAGGGATATGAAAATCAAAACTTCACTAAGATTCATCTCCAATTAGAAAGGCAGCCATCAGGAATACAAACAGTAATCGATGCTAGAGAGGATATAAAGAAAATGGAACACATTTACACATTTGGTGGGATTATAAATTAGTATAACCACTTTGGAAATAAGTATGTAGGTTCCTCAAAAGATAATGGAACCACCATATGACCCAGCTATACCAATCCTTGGAATAGCTTTATCCTAAAGAATTAAAGTAATCGAACCATAGTGGTTCATGAATTGCCATGAGCAGCACAATTCACAACAGTCAAACCATAAAACCAGCCTAGATGTCTGTTAGTGGGTGAATAGATAAAGAAAATGTTACGTACATACACAGTGAGGTTTTATTCAGTCATAAAGAATGACATTTTGTCATTTGCAGGAAAATGAATGGAACTTGAAAACATTATGTTAAGCTAAATAATCCAAACTCAGAAAGTCGAGAGTTGTCTGTTTCTTGTATGTGGAAGCCAGAGAGGAAAAGGAAAAGAAAGGTGGAGGGGAAATCTCATGAAAAAAGTGGAGGAGAGGGACTAGAGGATTGGAGGAGTGGAGAGAAAGGGGAAATACTGGGGAATGATATTGGCTAAATTATGTTGTTTTATTGTGTGCATGTCTGAATATGTAACAGTGAGTCCCATCATTGTGTAAGATTATAATGTACCAATAAAAAAATATGGGAAATAAAAATCAATGATAGAGAAAAAAAACAAAAACAAAAGTTAAGTCTGATTTGAGCTAAGGTTAGTCCTTTATGACCTAGGCCAACTGGCAAAGGGCAGAAGGGGAAAATGAATTCCAAATCCCTGGAAGAGCAAGATGCCCCTCTGACCAATTGAAGGAAGAAGCTGCTGCCACTTCATTAGACCAAGGCAACAAGGATATGCGTCATAGAGGAAAACGTGGAAAAAAGGTAAATGAAAGAGCAAAAGAGAGTGGGTGTGTTCTTTTATGATGGTACCTTTCGCCAGTTTCATGGGTTTCACATTTACTGAAACACATTCACTTATGCAGATTTCATTAGCAAAGACACTTAGAATCAGCTTTAATATTTCTCTTACCAAGTATTTGTTCCTTAACTATTTTAAAAGGTATTCTGTGTTTGGGAATAGTTTTTCTCCARTACTTGAAAGATTTGAATAATTAATCATTAATGATGTGCTTGCTTTTTTTTTTTTTTAGATTGTTCTCTACTTTCCTGTATTTACCAAGAACTTAGGGCTGGGTATGCTATTCTTTCTTGCACTCTACCATTTTTATCAGTTCCTTATTTTTCATGGATGGGCAAACAAAGCTGAGATTTGGTTTCTTAAAAGTATATTTAGTAGTTTCTTCTATAATTGTTCAGGTTCTGATTATTAAATATACTCTAAATGGCATATTTGTATTAGAATTCAGTAAATTACTGAGTATTAGAATAGTGGGCATATGTATTGGAAAAAGTATAAATTTCTTATCTCAAGGAGTTATATAGTTGAAAGCACAGATAAGCAAAGAAATAATTTTTATCTAATGAAATCATTACAAGATTCAGCCTAATCTTATAGGTAAGTGTGGATAGATGGGATGGGTGGTATGGGAACCTCATCCTAGAGGACATCATGACCAAGGGGAGTCTTGAATGATAAAGAAAAGTTGACCATACAGTATGATAGCACACTAAAGGAGATTCTAGGCAGGAGTAGTAATATAAGCAAATCAATGAAGAAAACAGTATTGTATGTTTATGTATTGCAGGCAGTTCACTGTTGTTCGTTGCTGTATTGTTCATGGTCATTGCTTRTTAATTTTCTTTGGAATTAATGAATATCACATGAATAGTCCACATTTACTCAGAAAGTGTCACTATGACTAATGTTGAACATCTTAGACCACCGTTTCCCCTGCCACTATAATCACTTTGGGAGTCTAAAATGATTCCAAGACATTTATTTTAATTTTAAAGATTTTTTAATAAGCTAATCCCAAGAAACCAAATCAAAGGGGGGTATAAAAGGATATATAGTGAATAGTAAGTTGGCCTCTCATTCCTGTCCACCAGTCACCTATCTCCACTCTTCACTTTCTTAGTAGCTTATTTTCCTTCCAGATTATATTTTATGCATARTCAAACAAATATACACACAGATATTATTTTAACATAAAATTTTGGCATTGCTTCTTCCTTGAATATTTATTTGGAAATTCTTCCATATCATTAGATGTTCATTTTTTATAATATTTCTGTGTTAGAAAAATCAAATGATATTAAAAAGGAATATACAGTTAAACAGCTTTACTTTTACTTCATCTTTTCCCTGTCCACACCATTTCCCTTGCCACTATAATCACTTTTATTATTTTTTTTAAAGAGAGAGTGAGAGAGGAGAGAGAGAGAGAGAGAGAGAGAGAGAGAGAGAGAGAGAGAATTTTTAATATTTATTTTTTTAGTTCTCGGCGGACACAACATCTTTGTTGGTATGTGGTGCTGAGGATCGACCCCGGGCCGCACGCATGCCAGGCGAGCGCGCTACCGCTGAGCCACATCCCCAGCCAATCACTTTTATTTTTATCTTATATACCTTTCCAGAGTTTCTTGAGGCAGACAAAACCAAGTACAAATGGTTAATCCATACCCTACCCCACCCCCCTTTTTTTTTTTTTTTTTTTTTTTTACTTTTACAAAATATAATAGATTTTCCTGTGAGGGGATTTTTGTTTTTGTTTTTTCCTTTGGAGGTAAACTTGAGATATTGTTCCATTTCAGTAAATATTATATTCATATTATAGTTTCTTTAATGAATCTCTTACTGAGAAGTGCTTTGCATGATTCTGTTATTTTGCTATTACAAATAAGGCTTCAATGATAACTTTCTAAATCTGTTTATTCATTAGTGTGTAAGTAATTGGATAAATTCTTAGAAGTGGGAAAACTGAGTCAAAAGATAAATGCATTTGTAATTTTGGTAGATTTTTATAAAATGCCCTCCTAGGATTGTACTACAGTACAGCAGTCACACACACACATCACACATTGGTGGTTTTGATTACTTGTGATCAACCAGACTGAAAGTATTATGGAAAATTCCAGAAGTAATATGTTTAAATTAGGCACCATTCTGAGTAGCTTGATGAAATCTTATGTCTTTCTTGCTCCATGCTTTCAGAGACATGAATTATCTTTTTGGCAAGTGTGTCTGAACTGTATATGCTACCTCTCCTTTAGTTAGTTTGTAGCCATCTTATTTATCAGATGGACTGTTGCAGGATTGCAGTGGTTGGATTCAAATAATTCTTATTTTACCTAATAATTCCCCCAACGCATAAGAGCAAAGGTGGGTGCTAAGGAGAAGTTATAAAGAACTTCCTTCAAGTAAAAAGGAGGGGGTAAAAAGTCAAATGCAAAGTTTCTAAGATCTATGGTAAGAATAAATTTTCTGTGATATTATGAAAAGAACAAAAAATTATGCTAGTTTTGCTGTCACAAAATATATTTCTAACTGTACCTAATTAATAGGTTAAACTTTACCATAGGTATATATGTATAGAAAAAAATAGTATTTGTAGGGTTCAGTGCTATCTGTGTGGTTTCAGGCATCCACTGAGTGTTTTGAAACATATCTTCCAAAAATAAGGAGGGAATAGTGTACCTATTTCCTTATAGCCCGGTCAACAGACTGACAGGTGGTCAGTCTTTCTGTATTTGGTAGTCTGATAGATGAGAAATTATATAATAGAATATCTTAATTCAATTTTGAATGATATTGAGCATCTGTGCTTAAAAGGGCCTTCAGTTTTGTTTTCTGCATATTGTTATTCAAGTACTTCATTTTTATTATTGGTTTGTTGATCTTTTCTCAGTTTTCAGGAGTTCTTTATATATTAGGGATATTGACCCATAGTTGAAGATAGAAATTGTAAATATTTTACCCAGTTTGTCTTCAGATTTTACTTACAAGTGGTTTTTCTCCTCCATGTAGAATTTGTTTTTTGGTTGTTTTCAATTTTAGTTTTTCAGGTTGTTTTGTAATACTGTGAGGTCTATGTTAACATGTTCCTCGTTTCTCATTTCTTACAGTGAGTTAATTTGGCTTTGAGATTTGGGGGTTGGCCCTAGCTATTGTAGCAATGGGCTGTTATATTAGCAAAGCACATTAATTTCTGTGCTCCCCATTTCCATTTAAATGGAAGGTCAGTCATTCTATGTTTATATATTTTTACTTATTTAAATTAAGACTTTTATTTGATCCCTACCAAAACCAGTTTATTCAGAAAGTTCTTTCCTTATCAACTGAATCATTTAGCAGAAATCTTTTACTCTTAAGTACCATGTGTGCATACTAATATGTAAGAATGAAATTTGTGTGAAGGAACACATAATCTGGTCAAAGAAAGAAAAAAAATAGTCAATTTAAATATTATTTGATAAGTGGTGTTTTGGAGTTCTAATAGTATTTAGTTCATTCCAGTGGAAACATTCACAAGAGCAGAACAATTTTCAGCTTCATAATAATTCTGGTATTATTATTTTTACTATTATTATTTTTGCCAGTGCTAGGGATTAAGYCCAGGCCATGGCACATGCTAGGAAAGTACTCTACCACTAAGTTACATTCCTAGCCTTTTTTATTCTGAGACATGGTCTCACTGATGTCACCCAGACTGGCCTTAAACTTGGAGTCCTCCTTCCTCAGACTCCTGAATAGCTACAATTACAGGTGTGCACCAAAACTCTGTTCCATTATAGTATTCTATAATACTTTCAATAACTAGGCTGACTGGAGATATTTTTACTAATTATATCTATCTAGTATTTGTTGGCTCAGTATTTTATAAAATAATAATTGTTCCCTCTACTAAGATAACTTTTACATTATAAATATTTTACTATTTAGACTAAAGATACTTCAAATGAAGAAATTAATCTGAGTCACATTGTACCCTGTGAGCCGGTTTCAGAAGAAAAAGCAAAAGAATTGCCTGAATGGAGTGAGAAAGTGGCTCAAAACATTTTATCAGGTATTGTGAATTTTTTCTCTTATGGCCTGAAACCTCTATAACTACYGAAGGTATTGTTTATAAGGGAATATTTTGATTATAATTTGTATTTTGTTTTTAAATGACCAATTATAGAAATAATTAAAAGTAGAAGGAACTCCAGTGTCTTAGAACCACATATTGTCAAGTAAATATAAATTCTTGCTGACATATCATCTATTTTACTCTTGGGAAAACTGGGAGTAAAAAGCTTTAAAAATCCTCATACTCTCAAGTAGATTTGAATATAAAATTCCTTTCCCCTTTGAGATTTCTTCCCTTTCCTTGCCCATTCCCCCATTAGTGTGGTCTAATGTTTGTGTTCTCTCCCCTCAACCTCTCCCCTCAGTTTATATGTTGAAATCCAAACCCCTAAAGTGATAGTATTTGGAGATGGTGCTTTTAGGAGGTTAATCATGAGGGACAAGCCTTCAAAATGAGATTAGTCCCTTATCAGAGAGACTCCAGAGAGCTGCCTTGCCCCATTCAGTATTCACGGGCACAGCTAAAAGGTATCATTTGGTGAACAAGGAAGTACATCCCCATCAAACTCTAAATCTGTTGCCACCTTGATCATAAACTTCTCAGCCTCCAGAACCATAAGAAATAAATTTCTATTTTTTATAAGCCAGTAATTTGTGGTATTTTGTTATAGCAGCACAACAGTCTAAAAGACCCCCTCAAAAAAAAAAATGAAAAAATATCCATCAATTTTGGAAGTATGTTAGTTAGCCTTCTATTACTCTAATGAAATACCGAGGCAATTTTCTTTAGAAAGAGAAAGGTTTATTTAACGTAGAATTCTGTTGGTTCCAGTTCAAGATTGGGTGGTAAAAGCACAAGATGCATTTGTGGGGAGAATAGGATATACATGGTGGAGCAAGAAAACAGAAAAAGAGGAAGAGATTGGGGTTTCTTCATGAGCCAGCAAGCTAATAAAGGAGGAGATTGGGGTTCTATCATCTCCTTTGAGGGTACATCCCAATGACCTAAATAACCTTTCTCCCATAAGGCCCTACCTTCTAAAGGTCCATAGCACCTCCTAATAGCACCATTCTGGGGACCAAGCCTTTTAACACATGGATTTTGGGAGACACCATCTATATTCAAATTATAGCAAGAAGTAAAACAGCACTCCCTAAACACCATAGCAATGCAAACACCAGAAGGTCTAAAGGTAATAACTCATGTATTTATGAAGAAGGCCTACTCTTTAGTTATAGTTACAAAAGGCTTCAGATCAATTATTCTGAAACCAGAGCTTTAATTGGTTTATATTTCACTTTGCTTTTTAATGTAGTGGCATTCTGATTTATACCTTTTATTTAAAAAAACTGCCACTTTTTAATAAGGCAGATTAATGATAGAATAAATGGGTATTTATTTATTTAAATGACTATCAATTCAGGGTTCCGTCTCCATACAAAAGCAAAGGAAGTCTTCAACATAACCAACAAGCTAAAATAGAGAATTAGGAACTAATAAAATATTTTCCCATTGCTAAAGAACTGTGATTGAGATGAGAAGAAAAGATAAAACCCATACTTTCAAATATAATTGCAATAGTTAATATTGACCCTTGAAGATATTTTTTTAAAGAAAATTTTAAAGAAAAACCTTTACTCTTATCACCGTGCTCCTAACTTTGCAGGCTGCCCAACATTAGGAGGTCAATATTCAGAAAACTTGCCTATCACCTTCACACATGTGGATAACTAGTTTCAAAGGTTATTTTCCGAAATTTTTTGAGTTTGTACTGCTATAAGTTTGTTTCATGTTGTTGTGTAAAAAAAAAAAAAATTAAACACATAAAACAATAGGTGTTAGTTTACCCATTTTGCAGCTGTAGTATAGGGGCCTGCAGCTGGGTGAACCAGTTGCTGGCATGCCCCAGTTTCGCCCAAAATAGAGGCCTGACAACCCACACTGTGCAACATGGAGTGTGCCTAAGTGACCAGGAGAAAATCAGATGTGGACAAGGGTTTACACAGAAGGAATACTGGTTATGGAAACCCACCCAGCTCTCCCTGTCCCCATCCAGTCTGGCTGCTTCCCAGGACCAGTTAGGAAAGAGATACCTAGCTGGGAATTTGCAAGAGTAGGAGAGGTTGAATTTGGAAACTGAACTGGAGAGAGACCTGTTCCACACGTGACGAAGTAGACTAAACATTAATTCCTCCACCCCACAAGTTGAACCTAAGGGAGATCCATGGGGTGCAGTCTTCCAGCAGGGACTGGCAGTTGGTGGGCCCTGGAGGTGCACTTATTTAAAATCTCCAGATCAAATGGCATTCAGCAAAGAACCTGGAGCCTACCTAAGCCTAAACCCTTCTTCCAGGAGTTCTGCTCATAAGATTACCTAACACCATCAACCCCACCGTGAGGGTGGAGCAACTATCACTCTAGATGACCCCACCTAAAACTACAGAGAAGGGAAGCTGAAAATATTTTGAACTCCAACAGAAACAATTATTTAACTTTTCATCAAGATTTTTTTTCTTTTCTCTGTTTAATTGTGACCTGAATGGTTCATGGACACTTATACATATCATATTTGGTTTTATTCCTCATTTTTGAAGCCAGTTAGTCTTCATGGGTCAGTATTTTGAAGACTAGGATATTTCATTAGTATGTTTCAGGGGTTTTTTTGTATTCTTATTTTTAAAAATTTTTACTTTATATATTTTTTCTCTCACTTATGTTTCCCATGATTCTCTTTTTCTCTCCTTCTACTAACAGCCAATCTCTATTCTCTTTCACTCTTCCTTTTAATTTTTTTTACTTCTGTCTTTTCTCCTCTTCCCTCATAATATCCTACATCACTTCTATTTTATTTCTGTCCACCATTCAAAGTCATAAACCCTTTTGCAAATTTATTGTTTTTACTGTAGACARTAACTGATCATATAATTTCTGTTTATTGTGACAGTTAACTTTATAGATGTCAGAGCAAGGACTGTTTTGTTTAAGGCTGTATATTGTTTGCATTGGTGGTGGTTGTTATTTAATGTCTCCCTTTATGACATACTGGAAACCTTCAGGGACACTATAAATCCACAGGTTAGAAACTCTGCTGTCTCAGATCCATACTTTTAGATGGATAGACACAAAAAACCATGTGAAAAAAACAGGGAACAGATGGCCCCAAACAAACTAAAGATATTTCCTTAGCAGAATCCACCACAGTAGAAAAAATGTTAGAGGAGTTTAGAAAGTCCATCGTTAAAATCATCTGCAACATAAAGGACAATGGTAAGGGGTGAAATCAGAAAATACAGAAAGTGAAAGATCTATAAAGAGATAGAGATTCTGAAAAAAAAATCAAGCAGAAATTCTTGAAATGAAAGAATCAGTAAACCAGATTAAAAATTCAAAGCAAAGGATCACCAACAGACTAGCCCACTTGGAAGACAAGAATTTCAGGTAATGATTTCAAAATACATGATCTTGAAAATGAAGTTGATTATGGAGGAAACCATGAACAGAACTTCCAAGAAATATGAAATAACATGAAAAAAACAAATTTAAGATTTACTGGGATAGATGAAGGGTCAGAGATACAAACCAAAGGAATCTTTTCTGTGAAATAGTATCAGAAAATTTCCCAAACCTAAAGAATGAAGTGGAAAATTAAATACAGGTATCTAACAGATCTCTAAATATATAAAATTACAACAAACCCATTCCAAGACACATTGTTATGAAAATGTCTAACATAGAATAAGAATAGAATTTTAAAGGCTGCCAGAGAAAAATGACAGGTCACATTTAGAGGGAAACAAATCCAGATCTCAGTTGATTTCTCAGCCCAGACCCTTAAAGCTGGAGGTCTTAAAATAATATATATCAAGCTCTGAAAGAAAATGGATGCCAACCAAGAATACTATACCCAGCAAAATTAAGCTTCAGTATTGATAAAATAAAAATCTTCCATGATAAACAAAGGTTAAAAGAATTCGCAACTAGAAAGCCTGAACTAAAATATTTCATCAAAAAAAAAAAAGTGAAAACCAGCAAAAGAAGAAATTACACTAGAAGAATAGTCCATCAAAAGAGAAACATTCAAATTAAAAATCAGAAATAAACCAAAATGATAGGGAATAAAAAATCATTTCTCAATAATAACATTGAATGCAAAACTAAACTCTTCAATCAAAAGACATAAGCCAGCAGATTGGATTTAAAAACAAGACCCAGCAATATGCTGCCTCCCCAAGACTCACCTTATAGGCAAAGACCATCCACAGGATGGTAAAAGGATGGAAAAAAACACATCATTCACATGGATCTCATAAACATGCAGGSGTTTCTATTTTTRTACCAGATAAAGTAGACTTCTAGCCAAAATTAATCAGAGAGACAAAGAAGRACTTTTATACTGCTTAAGGGAATCCTACATCAACAGTATGTAATGATCATAAATATGTATGCCCTAAACACTGGAACACCTATGTACATCAAACAAACCCTTCTCAATTTCAAGAATCATATAGACCACAATACAATACTGGGTAACTTTAACATGCCTCTGTCACCACTGGATAGATTCTCCAATCAAAAACTAAACAAAGAAGCTATAGAAAAAAAAATACAATTGATAATTAGATTTAAAAGATATGTAGAATATTTCATACATCAATGACTAAATACACTTTCTTCTCAGCAGCACACATAGCAACTCTTAGCAAATACATAATATCTCAGGGTCTTTGCTGGAAACTCAAATGGTGGCTAGTCATTCTRTGTTGGGGGCTGGAATCATCTAAAGGTTCCTTTATTCACACCTTTCTCATCTGAGTTGGGAARGGTCATAGTATGGGGAGACCAGATGGTAGTGCCTACATGTGGACACTCATGGCTTGACTTCCTCATAACATGGTCATCTTAGGCTAGTGTGACTTACATGGTAACTCAGGCTTTCAAGTGTGAATTGTCCAGCAAACAGAAACTGTATTACATTCTCTGATATATTCTGTGAAATTTCCAGCATTGCTTGGTTATAAGTAAGTTACATGCTTATATTCATCAAGATGTATATAACATAGCTCACATCTCAGTCGGAAGAATGTCAAGGTCATACTGAAAGAAAAACATTGGGGAGATACTGGTTTTTGGCAGTCTTTAGAAAATACTACCCATCACAAAGCCCTGTCCCTCCTAGGTTCTACACAGTTCTTCTACCAGAACAAGTAGAATATCCTTGAAGCTAGGTAATCTTGGGAAGAAGTCTCTTTAGAGGGGTGTGTGTGTGTGTGTGGGGGGGGGTATTTGTTTGTTTGTTTTTAACAGCAGGGCCTTATTATAAAAGTGAGCAAAAACTGAATACTGGTAATACGTAAGCAGCCTTTGCTATTTGAGGCTTCATTCCATTTCTTCATTTTGTGTTTTTTCATTCTATTAACTTCCTTTTCATTCTATGTCCTCAGGACTAGAGTTCCTAGTAATATCTATCATAGTTGGTGTCAATAACTGCCTAATCAGGATATATCTCTCTTTATGTGCTTTTTAATAGGAAAAATAAATAATAACTAGTGCACCAAATATACTTGTTATAAGTGAAAAAGAAAGGGACAGAAAATATTAAAGATTTACTCTAGGTAAAACTTCCTGATCTGTCATGAGACTGTTTCTACCTGACTCATGCAAACTCTATATAAAATAACAAGTAACCAGCTGTCTAAATTGAGTTCTTTCACCCTAGCCTATGATTGGTTCCTATTCACTGTTAAAGGATGAATGAAAATTAGCAAACACTGGTCATAGGTTTTATGAATATGAAAAGAAAAAAGTTAAATAGCTGTATTTCAAATTTGCCTGTGTTGAATACTGGTGTAAAAAGGAAGCTGCCATATATTTTCAATGGAGTAGGATCCAATAAGCTAATTTTGGAGGTTGGTGACAGTACTGTGATTTGAATATACTGTTGAAGCAGTTTACATTAAACAGTTCTGAAAAATAAAATGTCCTTGGGATGCCATATTTTCATTATGCTTTTCAAGGATCTGATATAAATGAAAGAAGCAGAAGCTTTAAAGGTTGTAAGGTAGCAAAATAACATCAAGGCCATTTGAATGTACCTTCTTAATTCTCTAATCTCCCTCAATTCTATAAGTAAAGATAGAATCTAGGATTCTATAAACAGTTGATATGGAGTGTGGAAGTGTAGTCACTTTCTGCTTACATATTCTAATATATGTAGAGCCAGCTACTATAATGCACTCATAGTTTCTCCAAGGTAGGTGTTTTTTATTACCATCATGTGCCTCTGGACTCTCAGGAGAAATTTTCCTTTTTGGTTAGTTCAGTCTGACAAAGAATAGTCACAAAGAAGCTCTTTTATTCTTCAGTACATTATTTACAGGACTCCATTGGCCCAGTATAGTCATCTGGCTGTTAGGTCCACAAAGAACTTTTTCTAATAGAGGGGATACAAAATTAATGAAGCATAATCAAAGAGTAATCCTATATTCAAACAACTTATACTTTGATGGGGGTACATGGTGATTAAATGCTAAAATAAATCATTTGTAGATTTTTAGGGGACAAAATCAAACAGGATAATAAAAAATTCATGTCATAAGATGAGAATTGCTGCCATTTCCTCCCCTCTATTAGCCAAATATAGAATATYGAAAACTGAATTAAAAAGATCAGTGTTCTAAAAATCGCATATTTTTTATAAAATTATTAAATACTCAGAAAATTCAGATCTGTATCATCTTGGATTTCAGGTGGCCTTTTACAAGGAGAGAAAGCTGTGGTTTGGGGTTTCTATTTTTAATAACATGTTTAAGGAGTTTAGTAATTGTGGACTGCAGTGATTGGGTTTAAGTGAAATAATTCCAAGTTACCTGCCAACTTTTCATTTGTTAAGCATTCATTCATTGTCTGCCATTTGTTGGCATTATTGAGTAGATAAAATTTAAACATGAATAGAATCAATCTATGTCTGGTACTACACATGCCATTTAAAAGTTCTAGATAGCTACCAATAAAGTATTATGTTTATCTTCTATTGCTGTGTCTACAGTTTTAACATATTTACCTGTGTTATGCTATTGCCTGATAATATATTGCTTATTTTCATCTAGTATTTTGCTTTATTAGTCCTATGATCTTTCATTTATCTTACTTCCATTTATTTTCCTCAGTCACCAGTAGACTGTATCCCTCCCCCTTTTTTACAAAGTTTAATTTGGGGGTTATAATCTCCTTTGTTCCATTATCAGTTTGATTTCTCAGTCTCTTCACTTTCAACCAGTTTTTCATTTCTTCAGATTTTTCAACCTACAAGTTAGTAACTCTAAAATCTTTTTTTTTTTTTTTTTTTGTGAAGGACATGTTCAAGCCTTTTATTGTTATGGGAACCTGTTGTTCACCTAGGTTTATGACTTGGGCCTCCTTCAGAATTAATTATTGGGCATGACTATGGGGTAGGATTAGAGATGGAAGTAGGGTATTGACTGAATTAGGAGGAGAAACAAAAAAGTGGCAAGTCATCTCCTTCATACTAACTTAAAAAAAAAAATTTAGGTATGATTTTCATGTGATCACTGGATGCTTACTCATGGACTGGAGTAATCATGTAAAAGTAGGTCATAGACCTTGACATAATATCCTAAAGTATTTTATATGGATAGCTTTAAAAGTTCCAATGTTTTGGGGTTGGCCAAAAAGGAGATTGTTTAAATTTTAAGCTCTCTATAGAGGAGTGAAATACTCTTAACTTCTTGCTTCTCTCACTCTACCTTTTCTTGGACGTTTCCAGTGCTGAGGACTTTTTCTTTTCACCAAAGATGACCCTGGCATTCCATTTTTCCCTCTGCTTTTGATCAAAGGAAAGAGCTAGGGACCATAGTAATGGGAAATGACAAATYCTCTAGGCCTTTCATCTTTCAAATTTCCTCTTCTCGTCCAGTCTTTCACGTTAAGTTTTTGTCAGTCAGATTTAGCAATCTAAAAGGTCCTGAGATCTAGGAGTTGGGTTTAGGATACAATGACCTTTAGCTTAAAGTAAGCAAGAATTTATGTGGTATTTGAAAGACATCCTTTGTGTTTGCATTGTTCGTGTCTTTCTCCCTCAGGATTTCATGGGAGAAAAATGGTACCTGGACCAAGGCAAAAAGAACAAGAATATCTGGGTCCTCCTGCCAAATACTATCTTAATGGCACCAAAACTCAAAATTAGTATCTAACAATAGTGTAAACTGTGGTAAGTAACATATGGAGATAACTACAAGTTGTAATACCAGCATACAGTAACGCAGAATTCTGTCATGGAGAAATGTTAAACCTAAGTATTGAAAGATAAGTTTAGTTTGAAATAAGATGTGTAATCAAGGCAGAAAATTGTAGGTACAGATTTGGCTTTAAAATTTATGGCATTGTATTTGTGGGACCTAAACTCCTTTTATGTTTTTCTTGTCAATATTACTTATTAAAAGGTTTCAGGATATAATATATATATATATATAAACTTAATGCTATACAATTAATAATTTTCTTTTAAATAGGTGCTTCCTGGGTGAGTTGGGGTTTAGTCAAAGGTGCTGAATTTACTGGTAAAGCAATCCAGAAAGGTGCCTCTAAACTCCGAGAACGAATTCAACCAGAAGAAAAACCAGTGGAAGTTAGTCCAGCTGTCACTAAGGGACTTTATATAGCAAAGCAGGCTACAGGAGGAGCAGCGAAAGTCAGCCAGTTCCTAGGTAAATTAATTCTAGATAACGTTGCTTCTTTTTAGTAAATTAAAAATAATCTCTTAACCCACATTTAATCTAAATATTCATTTAGATGTTTTAATCTCAGAATTAGAATGCAGCAATTTCACCTTGCTATTCATGGTGGGACCTGTAGATCTTCAACATCAGCCTATCTGGGAGCCTAGAAATGCAGAATTTTAGGTACCATACACACTTTACTTATTCAGAATCTTCATTTTATAAGATCCCTAGATGATTGTTTTTTGCATATTAACATCTGAGAAATTGGTAAAAGGGTAGTTTTGATGTATTGAGAAGGAGAGTATATGTTATCTTGGAAAGGAGATCCAAATGTATTTATTATTTATTCTTTGAGCTTCTATCTAAGGAATATGACAGACACATTGTTTAGTGGATCACAGCTCAGTAGTTAAGGGTCAAGAAAAAGGGATAGATATATTATGAGATGTTGACTTAGTGATTCTGGTGCCAGTCTTGCCAAGTTATATTCTTCTTCCTTTATCTTCCTTTATCTTTTGACAATCACAGCACTAAAATTTGATGTTGTAAGAAGGTCACATTGTTAATGGATTACCATTAAATTAGTGAGATTATCTTCTTTGATATTTGGATACTAAATAGTATTCTTTGAATCACATTTTGGGTTGTTTACTTTTGTAGACTTAAATATCTTACTATTTCTTGAAATATTTGGTGCTAGAGAGAAAGAGTATAAATATGCTTTGCTGAAAAACTAAAGGTACATCCAGTTTTGTATTGTAAAAGTCAGATAGAAAAGGTGGATGATTTTCTTTTAAGCACAAGTGCCCAAAAGAACATGTATAGCCATGTATGGATGGTAAGGTTACCAGTAGTAGATAAAAAGCACACTTTAAGCTAAATAATAGCCTTTGTTTGAAAACTAGCCAACCTAGCTTCTCATTTTCAAGTAGAAATGGTAGTATTATGTAATAAAGAATTTTACTAAATGATTGTGGTAAAATCAAGGGAGAACAGGTTTTCTAAATACTTTTTTTTTTTTTTTTAATGGTCATATTAGTTGATGGAGTTTGCAGTGTAGCAAATTGTGTTGGAAAAGAACTGGCTCCACATGTTAAGAAGCATGGAAGCAAACTTGTTCCAGAATCTCTTAAAAGAGACAAAGATGGGAAGTCTACCCTGGATGGAGCTATGGTTGTTGCGGCAAGTAGCATTCAAGGTAATAAAAAGGCCCAGAATGTTACACTGTGTTAGTTTGGAGGGGTTCAAACCTAGGCCTTTTGTATGATACACACATTCTCTTAACACTGACTGAGCTACATCCCCAGCCCTCAGCAATTTTAATTGAGAAGCTTTGTTTGCTTTGAGTTGAGATTTACTTACTTTGAATACATTTACAGGATTTTCAACTGTCTGGCAGGGATTGGAATGTGCAGCTAGATGCATTGTTAACAATGTTTCAGCAGAAACTGTACAAACTGTCAGATACAAGTAAGTTGAATTTTATCACTTTAATGACTAAATCTTTTGTATAATTTGTTAAAATCCATGATGATAAAGATGATTATATAATTGATAAAGATGATTATATAATTATTATTTTTAAGTATCTGATAAAACATTTTTTTTCACTGTTTCTCAAATAGGGAGAAGAGTAGTATTTTTAAAAAAAATTTTTATTTATTTTTTTTAAAGAGTTGTATTTTTAACATAACTAGAATTCTTGTGACTTTGCTTCATGTTACTAATTATAACAAATGTTTGCCATTAGTGCAAAGACTAGGCTTATTTTTTTTTTTTTTACAAAAGCTTGCATTTTTTTATACTATTAATGACTTCGTTTTGATGGTGATGTTTGTTTGAAAGGAATCAATTGAACTATAGTACCCCTTATTAATGTTATCCAACTGTTGTACAAGACAAATTTATGACACATCTTGACTCTAGAACCACTGTACATTTGTATTAAAAAGCACMGATGGTATGTCTTCTATTTCATATATTAAGAAGTGAACAAACAAATGGTTTGTACATGTTTATTTGGTAAATGGTGTTAAGATTTCTTTCTAGTTTGGCTTTTGAGATCTCTGAGGAGTATGTATAAACTCTAGTCCTGCCCTTCTAGGGCTTCAGGGTAGGTAATCATGGGTTTTTATAATGCAGCTTTTAGTATTACTTCTTTATCCTGGCAGATGACCCAGTACCTAAGTTTCCAACCTCTGACCACGTGGTGTCCCTCTCACAGGAACCTTGTTTATGCTGGCAGACATTCTTGTGTCTCTTGTCAGACCTGTATCTAGTTTATTCCTACTGAGATATTCACTAAGAGACCATTAACTGGAAGGAGAGTTAGGTTTGGTTGCATTGGTCATGTGAGACACAGAGGAGGTAGTACAACAAAACAGAAAATAATAAAAGCATGATGTTACAAATCCACGAGAAAAGAGGTGTTCCCACAAGAGCCGTCAGGAAGTCTGAAGACATGAGGGTTACTCAACCAGTGTGTCAGGAAAGAGAAAGAGAAGAGATTTGTGTAAAAGAGGGGAGGAAAGAGGATCTGTGACACTGTGACTTTAAGATCATGGACATTATTCTTTTAGCTAGGAATTGTGGATTAGCTAGTTTAAAGAAAATGTGTAAGAAAAGAATTTATTCACATGACTCTGGTGTGGGCTGTTAGGTTTTATCATGGTCAGCAACTGTGCAATGTGTTGGACTTTTGAGTCAGCGAGATGAGGAACAAGAGGACTATACCACAACACAGGGGAAGTTTTAACTAGGTCAAAAGACCTAGGATACCACAGATTTCAAACAGCTTATGTGAGACCTAAAAAATAGATGTTGTGGCAGCAACTATATTTAGTTTATGACAGATGGTATTAAAGATGAGATTTAAAACAAGATCTGCTTTTATCTCTTTTTCTTTCTAATTATACTGCCTTTATAGTAAGCACTAGAGGAATCAAGATCTAAAAACTATATGTAGTATGAAGGAGATGACTTGCTTTCTTAGCTTTGAATTAGTTCAAATTTTATGACATAGTTACAAAAGAAAAAACATTAATAATGTTCACTATTCTTGGTCGTTTGTGTTAATTATTCATTGGCAGTATTGGCATTCATATTTACATATTAGGCATTGTCTGTGTTCATTGCTTTTCATATGTGTATTTTAATATTTTTATTCTACAGATGAGGAAATCAAAGCATAGAGTTAAATACCTAGTTAAAGATTTCAGCCCTAGTAAATTGTAGGGCTAGGATATAAACCAAGTGTTATCATCAGAATCTTTGCTCTGCAGTGCAGAGAATAGTGCTGGGGCACTATGACCTTGTGTTGTGAAAGTTTAGTACCTAGAGTTTTTGTAGCATTACCTAATGATTTTAGACTCCCTTTGGTTTAGGAGATACCAAACTTAATTTCCATCCTAAATTGATTTGATCTGCTCGATTTGGATTTGGGGCATGCATAGCTTTGAATCAAAGCAACATGGCACAACATATTGTAGTCAGTTTTACCAAGAGTTGAAAAAGAAAATATAGAGTATATCTGAAATTCTTTTGATGAAAATGTAAAAACTCACCTTCCAGTTCACCTCTTCTTCTCACACTGACCTCTAATATTGCTAATTTTTTTTTATGCCCTTGAATTTATTTTGATTAGTCATTCAGAATTAGAAAGTTTCTTTTATAAGCAAGAGCAAGAGCAAGTCAGAAGTGCCTTTTAGGCCAAAAGTCAGTTATGTTTAGATTATCATTTATTAGCATAATTAGATAGTTATATCAGAAGGTGAAAGTACTTGTTGGGTTTTTCCAAGTTTGATAGTCTGTTAACGAAAACGTACTAGGTTTTGATATAGAGTATATTTCTGATCTTAGTAATATGATAAACAGAATATTTTAACAGTGGTTCTAAATTAATTTCTGTAATAGTATATATTGGAATTCTTTTTATCCTTTCCTTCATTTGGATGACAAAAAGGTGAAAATTTAGTTAAGTAGCTTTGTATTTGCAACTGTAGGGATGATTTTCAGTTATCGTAGTAATTTATTTTCAAATCCTCTTAGAAAGGATGAGAGAGGCAATGGGGAATAAAGGATCTTGTCCAGGTAATCTTATTTTCTTTCTTTTTTKGGGGGAGGAGGGGTGGGGAGTACGAGGGATTGAACTCAGGGGCACTCAACCATTGAGCCAAATCCCCAGCCCTATTTTGTATTTAGAGATAGGGTCTCACCAAATTGCTTAGTCCCTTGCTGATTTGCTGAGGCTGACTTTGAACTCATGATTCTCCTATCTCAGCCTCCCTAGCCACTAGGATTATAGGYATGTGCCACCACACTCAGATATCCGGTTTTCTCACTGATGGAAATAAGTATTCAGCCAATAATAACTTGGTGAAAGAACTGAAGACATGGAAGATCTAGTTGTTCTTTTAATTGAGTTCTCAGTTATTTACATAAATTTATACTTTTTTACAACCTTATTTGTTTACATTTATTATAGTATCAAAAAGCAGAGGAGCATTTGTGTTGTGGAAAGTAAACCAAAGTAAATGTATATTATTTATTATTTTAGTGATAAAATGTTACTCTCTCAAGTAATTTCTTTTAAATCTACTGCTATATGCATTATGCCTGGAAGAAAAACAAATACATAAAATCCATTATCTGATTTCTGGTGATATAAGCCTATATAGAGGGTTAGCTAGCTACATTCTTAACATTTTTTAGGTAAATGTATAGCACTATTAAGACTATTTTTGTCAGTTACATTAGTAGTTTTGTCTACTATAGGAACAATKAAGGTAAATAACTTTAAATCTGCTATACTAAATTGCACTATAGTACCTATTAATCATCACTCTTCTTCATAGTTTCTAGATTTCACTATTGAGCTTCTTTAGTTCCACCTTAAGTTGTTTAAGGAGAATAATATAATTCCAGTAGGTTAGACTATTTTTATTTTCCCCTAACAATATTTTTATATTGAAATGTTTGGGGCTGGGGATGTGGCTCAAGCGGTAGCGCGCTCGCCTTGCATGCGTGCGACCCGGGTTCGATCCTCAGCACCACATACCAACAAAGATGTTGTGTCCGCCGAGAACTAAAAAATAAATATTAAAAAAAATTCTCTCTCTCTCTCTCTCTCCTCTCTCACTCTCTCTTAAAAAAAAAAAAGAAATGTTTGTTTTTGAAAAATAAGCGTAATAATAAATATTTTCCTACAAGAAATTTACTGTTGTATGACACAGTATTTTTTTGGTTTGTTTATAATGAAATTTAATTAAAAGATACCTTAAAATTTGCATGGGGTGAAGGGGTAACTCCAGTGGCAGTTGTCATTAGTACTTGAAACCAGTTCTCTATGACATATACTCAGGAGTTACATATACAGAATCTTCTTTTTCCATGTACTATCTATACTGATATTTAAACACAGTCACTGTGTCCTTTACCTGTTTTTTTTTCTTGTTTTCTATGTAATCTTAGTTCCTCTAACAACTGCATATATAAGGGAAAAATAGAAGTTTATCAGTATTATTTCCAAGATGTGRCATACAGAATTGAATCTAATATTCCAGCTCTATTGTGATCACATCAAATATAGTGGGATTTGCTTCCCTTATCTTGTTCATATTTTTCACTTGATAAAATAATGGCACACAAGTCAGAGTATGTTTTTTTGGTATCTTGTCTTTGGACATTTGCTACTTGTACCTAAAATTTAGAGTTTATTTTATTTTGTTGATTTTGACCCATCATTAAGTCAGTTCTTCATTTTAGCTTTTGCTTTYGGTATGTGATGTTAGCCAGCCTTCTAGTATGGGTTTTCAGTTTATTTGAAAGATAGTGACTTTTTCATGTATATCATTTTTCCTGAAATTTTCATGGATAACTTTTAATCACATACTTGTTTACCTCTCCTAATTGATCTTGTTTTAGTAKTTAATGTTTGTTAAGAATGATGAGTTAGTGTGCAAATCTAACAGCATTCTCATTTAGCCCATCTTTCCATTTGGTCTTATCAGACTGTTTCTCAGGATTGTTTTCTTCCACATCTATCTTTTACATATTGGTCCTCATTAAAGTTTTTCTTTGTTCTGTCCTCTTTTACTTTTCATGGATAATCTTATCCACACTTGTGGATACAATTATGACCTGTATACCAACAACTCTCAAACTTGTGTTTTTTGTTAACTTATGTCTTAATCTTTAGACTCAAATATCCAAATTACATTACTACAGATTTTTCTGTTGTTTTTTTTTATATTCATCCCTTGCTCTCAAACCTTACTGCCTTAGAATAGACCTTCATCATTTCCTATCCAGCCCACAGCTTATTTCCTAACTGGTTCCTTTACTTCCAGTTGTGTATACTCTTCAAATTTAGAATGTAACCAGAGTTAGGGGAATCTTTCTAAAACATAAGTTGGATCATTCCATTTCCATTGGTAAATTTTTTTTCATTTTCCACCAATTTCAAGATAAAATTTAAACTCCTTAGCTTCACCTACAATTCCTTCATAAATAACCATAAGTTATCTACCTTTGATGACTAGGTTAAAAAAAGCTATTAATGCTTCAAATATTTCAGGGTAATATATCTGAGGATAATTTTGAAGGTGGCATATAAATTGATTTACATGGAAATTTTATTTAAAAGTTGTAATTGAAATGTTACAATAATTAGTAAAATCTAAAATCACTGGCAATATGCTATGTGTGTCAGTATGACTGAACACGGGGCTGGGGATGTGGCTCAAGCGGTAGCGCGCTTGCCTGGCATGCGTGCGGCCCGGGTTCGATCCTCAGCACCACATACAAACAAAAATGTTGTGTCTGCCRAAAACTAAAAAGTAAATATTAAAAAAAAATATGACTGAACACATTAGGAAAATTTCTGAAAAGTCTGATTCATATAAATTCCTTTGATTTATTTAGAACATATTTCATATTCACTTTGTATTATTCATTTGGTAATGTTAGTATATAAAATCTAACTTATAATCTTATTAAAGTTAATTTATTAAAAAGAGATCAAGAATAAACTTTATATTCTTGCCAGATATATGCTTCCTATGAGTTCTTAGCAGTGTAGTTTGAATATGAATAAAAATGTACTGAGAAGTTAATTATCTATGAAGAGAAGAATAGACACTTTTATGAAAACTGGTTGTATGTCTTTGGGAAGCAGATGAGGAAGAGGTGAGTATATATTTAAAAATAAAACTGAAAGGTCTCTTAAAACATATTTAGTACTACTTTAGAATTTTCAAAGTGCTTTCATATATACATCATTTTATGATATAAAGAAGTTGAGAAGCAAAGAGATTGGGACTGGACCACAGTCATATGGCTAGTTATTTGCACATCTGATATTAGAATCTAATTTTCTGATTCCTAATTTTATAACTGTTTTCCTTAGCTTAACATAAATTGTTGTGATAACATAATAAGAAGTGAAATCAACAGGGTATCAAAACAAATTGAGTTTTAATATTAAGGACAGTGTTGTTTTTAGAATTGCATTACACATAGAAATATGAGTGCAATAAGAGGTATTAGACTTGTAGTAGAGTAGGAAACATTGTAAGTATCTAGCAGTGGAAGTTTATTCATCTGGAGTGCTTCCTGGACTTGAAAACCTGAATGTGGCCAAATTCTTGTTATGGTGTCCCAGTCCTAGAGAAGTAAGCTTTAAGAAAAACTGTTGTCACTAAGAGTTAGTTACTTTTTTCAGTACTGAAACAGCCACTATCCCTTTTTCTTGTTTAGTCATAGCCATTGCCGCCTGACAATAGTATTTTCTGACTGGGGCTTGGTTGGCTATGAGAAGGTCCCCACTGTGTTCTGCACCATTAGCAAATCCTGCAGAATGCTGAGGACTTACAAAATAATAGGGACTGACCATGCATGGTGGTACATGCCTTTAATCCCAGCCACTTGAGAGGCTGAAGCAGGAGGATCACAAGTGTGAGGCAAACCTTGGCAACTTAGTGAGAACTTATCTCAAAATAAAAAAATAAAGCTGGGTGCAATGGCCCATGCCTACAATACCAGTGGCTCAGGAGGCTGAGACAGGCTTCACGAGATTCAAGATCTCGTGAATTCAAAGCCAGCCTCAGCAATTTAGTGAGGCCCTAAGCAACTTAGCAAGACCCTGTCTCTAAATAAAATATCAAAAGGCCTGGGAATGTGGCTCAGTGGTTTAAGTGCCCCTGGTGGGTTTAATCCCTGATACCAATAAATAAATTAATTTTTTTWAAAAAGGGCTGGGAATATAGCTTGGTGGAAAGCACCCCCCTGGGTTCAAACCCCCAGTACTATAAAAAGAGAAAAAAAACAACTACAGAGAGCAGTTACAGGAAGCTTTTTTCCTCACATACCTGGTGAGAAATCTCTTGACAAAGAGTTAGCCCAGACTTAAAGTTTGAATGACTATAGCTTCTGTCTATATAATTAGTGTAATGTAATTATTAACATCAGACAGAGGACAGAATGTAATCATCATTCAGAGCCATAATAAGATTACTCACACAGCACTGGGTTTGAGGAAAGCAAAGCACAAATAAGCCAATGGAATACCACCCACTGTTTAAGGCCAGGCTAATAGTAATAGGACTTGTTAATTTAAAGACAGATCCTGTGTTTATATATAGTACATCCAGATGTAGGTCCCAAAACACCTGTGCAACTCTCATGTGTCCTGGAAAAAGTGTAAAATTTTTTCCTTTGGTGGTTGATTATTGTTTAAACAATTTCCTGCTTAGGAAATTATGTAAGCAAGAAAAGCTTCAAAAGCTTGATGCTGCAACAAGGGGTACAGAGTAAAACAAATAATAGGGAGATATGTTTTAATATCCTTGTATAGGATTTTAGATTGTATTTTCTCAGATATAAAATTAAAGACAGATTATTGACACTAATGACTGCTTTTGTATATGTTTGTAATTTCTCAAGTACTTTGCTATACATTTGATGCTCAAGAAACTGAGCTGTATAGAGTGGGAATTAATCATTTCAGTCCTTAAATATTTATTGATGATCAGGCACTGTTCTAGGTGCTTAGGATACATTAACAAGGGAAAGATTCTGCTTTCCAATGAAGTTTATATTTTAGTGAGACAAGCAATAATATATTTTAGTGAGACAAGCAATAAATAATAGTTATTGATAAATTCTATAGCATTTAGAAAATGATAAGTATGGAAGAACAAAGAGTAATTCAAAGAGGAATTGATTGGCAGTGAGATGGGGCATATGGATAAGGCCATTTGAACTGAATTAAATACTGAGAAAATAATAGTTGAACCTGCTTGAAGAAAGTTAGGCAGTAGCTAAAGGAAAATATAGGTAGATTCCAGCCAGCAGGTAGATTCAAGGAAAGGCAAGAAGACCTGTGAGTTTGTAGTAGAGTGGAGTTCCAAGGAAAATGTCAAAGAATCTCTGCTTAAAGGCAAACTCAGATTCCCATGGTTTAAAAGTCTTCACCAAAGTACAGTTAAGCTAAAATGTGAAACCATTTATAATGGCTCTAGATTCTCTGTACTGCAGTTGCTCCAGTGAAATTTTTTCCTTATTATTTCCAGAAGGTGGGGGGAGTATGAAAAAAAACTTTATTATAATTTACATTTTATTATTATTCAGTAGTCTTTATTATATTGTTCCCAGCTAGTCTTTTATTTTCAAACATGGTTTTTACTGCAAGGGAAACTATTGCTTTGTCACAGTGTGATTTCATTTTGAGTTGTTAATTAAATTAAACCTTAAGGTTTGATTTTACTTTTTAGGGATAACATAGTAGTCACATAATTTATTAAATACTAATGCAGAAGACCTTATTTCATATTTATATTTCATCATACATTCTCTCATTTTCATTTTATTTTGTAAGATACGGGCATAATGCAGGAGAAGCTACACACCATGCAGTGGATTCTGCCATCAATGTTGGTTTAACTGCCTATAATATTGACAACATTGGTATCAAAGCAGTGGTGAAGAAAACTGCAAAACAAACAGGACAAAAACTCCTTGAGGACTATCAAATACCTGGTTCTTCTCGGGGARAAAGTCAAGAAGGAGCAGCAACTGCAGATATGAGAAAAGAGAAGGATGAAAAGACAGAAGAAGTAGAAAAGAAAGAAGGAAAGAAGAAAGATAAATAGTGGAAGTGCTGGGAATCACCTATACCAAAGCCTTACCAGATGGAGGAAATTCTATTTAATAGGCAAATGTGAAATTCCCTGCAAATTAATCAGTATTTTTTAAAATGCATTCATTCCTACAAAGTGACTGTCCTATGTTTTATGACATGTATTCCACTTACACAAGGAAAATAATCAGTATTCTTGCACCTGGCCTTTAGAAGTTTGCAGTTATATTCTCAGTAAATTTATTTTTTCCCAAAATGCAGCCAAAATATTTTTGCAGTTAAAATAAAGCTTATAATACATGTGCTATAACCCTCATTAAACATTATAAAATTATTTTTATATGTTATCTTTCCGAAAGTAGAAAATTATATATTTACATAAAATTTGGCATTTAGTAACCTTTGTTCTATTTATAGTGGGAAGGAATGACTTAAAATACTGCCTCTTTTTGCACTAATTGTGGATCTTTTTAGACACTTGTCAGAATTTTCAGTGTGGAAGCTAAACAAAAACTATAATCTGAGCTAAAAGAATTCTTAGATAATATTTTAAAAGTGTTTTCAAAACAAGGATGAAGTTGGATCATGAAAAATGAGGTTCTGTAAAATTATTTGGTAGTTTATATGTTGGTTCTGAAATGAGATTTTTTTTTTAATTTAAAATCAATACAAATAAATCTGTAAATCTTTTGGATTGAGAATGGTATTGATTTATTAAGAGCCTAGAAAAGTTTTCAGTATGATTGATATTGCATTAAAATTTGGAGTGATTATTATCAGCTTAATTGGACAAAAAGTACTCTAAAAAATAATTTTGCCATATATTGTTTCTCAGAAAGGCAAACACTTTGTTTAAAAAAATGTTTTTGGAAAAAAATATATGAGCCGTTGAATTTACTGATGGTAAATATATTTTTATTTTTGGCTTTAGCCATTAGAATTTGTATTTAAAAAGCCAATAAGTTATTAAAAGGGAAGATCCTATTTGTGATCAAGGTAAATAATATGAAAACGTTAGGCTCAACTAGGTGTGTAGACACAATAGTTTCCACTTTGGGTATAAGAATATCCACCAATCTTAATTTAAGCTACAAATAGATAAGTAAATACTTAATGGCATTTTATTTTTGTTTACTAATTTTAAAAGATTGGTATTATTTTCATAGCTATATTCTATTGCAATCATTTGTAAATCTCTAGTGGCTAGTTTGTGGGACTTTATTTGAAAATAGCTGAAGAAAGCACTTTGTGAATAAATTTGCTGAACYGCTTGGCCTTAATTGTATTCATTGGGCTTGTCTTTTAGGAACACAGAATTGGTGGAGCTTATTCATGAGGCCAAAGATAATGTACTAGTTGATAAGAGAAATAAAATTTGAATTGGTAAATAGCCTCCAGTCAGTCTTTGCTTTGTTCATGTTTAAGAAATGAAATGGCAAGTAGTGGAGCCAAAGTTTGAAAAATTACCTTAGACTAGAGGTCCACAGATATGTCTCATTAACCAAATCCAGCCAGCTATTGAAAGTTCTATTGGAGCATAGTTAAACTCATTTATTTACATATTGGCTATGGCTGCCCTCTAGTACCCTATCAGAGTTAAATAGTTGCAAGAGACTATAGGGCCCACAAGCCTAAAATATTTACTATCTAAACCTTTATAGAAAAAGTGTGCTGACCTCCATCTTAGAGCAAAGAAAATGGACCTTCTGTCCCCAAGGAGTTGGGCCACACCACCCTCCAGGTATAATGCATTTACCAATCCAAAAGCTCTCTGAACTCTTATTCAGGAGTTTTACAGAGGCCCCATTATATAGGCATAATTAAGTCATTGACTATTGGTAATTAATGAATCCCAGCACTCTCCCATCCTCTTAGAGGTCAGAGTTGGGAGAGAGATATAGAGGTGAAAGATCCAAACTTCTAACTACCTGAGTGATTCCTTTGGCAGCCAACACTCATCTTTCATAAAATCAGACATGGTTGAAAAAGGATTACTATGAATAATCAAAAAAACTCCTTTGAAAATTCCAAAGCACTGGAGCTCTGCCAGGAACCACAGACGAACACCGAATACCTATTTTGTACATCATACCCTCTCAAAGCATCCAAATATCTGGGTACTCCATGGTCCATAAAAATTAATCATCACAACTTTTTAGCCCAGTTTTCATTGTCTAGAGGCTTTCTATAGTTTAAATGTTTGTGTCTCCTCCCAAATTCATGTTGAAACTTAATCTCCAATGCAACAATATTAACAATCAGGGCCTTTAGGAGGTGATTAAGCCATGAGGTCTTTTCCCTCATTAGTGTGATTAGTGCCTTATAAAAGGGCTGGAACTAGCAAGGCCATTTTTTGGCATTCTGCCTTCTACCATGTGCATACACCCCATTTGTCTCTTTCACCCTCCATACTTTTACCATGTAATGACACAACAGGGTGCCTCTTTGGAAGCAGAGAACAGGCTCTTCCTAGACACTGGATCATCCAATATCTTGATCTTGGGCTTCCAGCCTCTAGAATTGTGAGAAAGAAATGTTTGATCTTTTACATATTACTCAGTCTCGAGCATTTTGTTAATAGCACAAACAGACCTAAGACCTTTTGCCTATCTTTGCTTGAATTGTTGAGATTCAACAGATATAATATAAAAATAATGTGCATGATTCTGAGCACTAGAAAAATTAAGATATTTCTTTTTATAGAATAGGAAACTGAGGTTATAGAGAGGTTAAATAACTTGCTCACGATCAAAGAGAATGGTATTAATTGGTAGAAAGATGAGATCATATATTAGCTTCAAAAATGAAGGACCTATGTAGAATGATAGGTCAGTCTTCTGGTCTTTCATTAACATAGATACAGAAAGACAAGTGGCCCTTACAGAGTTCCTCTGATACTAGCTGCTTAACAATGTTGCCATTTTTTTAAATTAAATTACAATTGGCTTAATGRTATAAATTTTCCTAAGATACTAGCAATAATTCATCAGTTCTAGATTTTTGTTACAGTGTGAGCTTCCCTGTCTATAGGTATTTTAGGGAAAGCTAAGCAAGCTTTGGGAAAGGCAGTTTCATATGTACAATCTTTTCACATTCCCCACACCCTGCCCCAGCCACATCAGAATAGGCCTCGAGTCTGGAACACTTATTAAAGAGGGAAAAAAGAGAGACCACACTGCCTAGACCTTGTGTGGAAACACCTTTCCTTGTTTTCAGACTGGATGACTATTGCTTTGATCTGCCTCATCATGCATCCATTGCCCTCAGGTACCCCATTTTTCCGTGTTTCATAATCYCTGGAGGAAGGAGTCAGGGTTGTTTCACAACAGCACAAGAGAAGTGCATGTAGGCGCACTTTCCTGCTGTGGCTGACTGGGAACCCACTAGCCATGAAGAATCCATACACACTATTGGAGCTAAACTTGCTCTGTTTCTGTGTAACTTATGTTGTGCCATCCAGTGTTTGTTGTGTTTTCCTTGCTGACTGGTGCCAAGATGCAATGAGCAGAAATGTTTGTAGAATCAATAACTGGAGGATGGTGCTCTGCTTGACATTCAGCCRGATATAAGATTTGTTAGCCAGACATCATTTTATATTCTACTTCTCAAGTAAATCTGATAGATAATGCTATGCTCAAAGGACTTTCACTGGTCTTTTCTGACCATACTAAATAGGTACTTGTCTAAACAGACTTCCAGTGGATTTTCCAATTTTGTATTTACTTTAGCAACAAATACTTGAAAGAGAACACTTCATTGATTTCTGAAAACATTTTTATCTAAAGACATCACACATACACTTCTATTCACAATATATCTAAAAGATTCAGGAAGATAAATAAGAAGTCAGATACAAAAATAGAGTATGAAATAATATCTTAACTATACCTTATCAAAGGTCTGTCATATGTAAAGAAACAGCCTGATCACCTTGGAGGCTATTCACTGGAGATAACAGTTACTAGTGGGGAAAAGTGTTGTCTATCACCACTTCCAAATATACTGTTCAAATTTATAAGACTGATTTTGGTAACCAGCTCAATCTAGGACCCCTGATATATAGGAAAGGGTCCTAGAATTTGCATGTTTAAAAATACTCTGCATGATACCTTTAATGGAAAAGTGTGTGTGTGGGGGGGATTCTGTTGTGTAGTTGGGGGTTAAAAGGAATTGGGAGAGAATGTCGAGGTATAGCCACTGTCAGTGATGACAAGATTGAGAATATGGCTGTGGAAGAGAAGTAGAAATACAAGTGATRAGAGTTGTGAATTGAAAGATGAGATTGCAGGATGGGATTGGAAGTCCAGTCAGCTAGGAATACGGCAAGACTTATAAGGAAAAGAACCTTGGTTGTCTTAGTATATACASAGTGACTATGAAGTCTGTGAGTGAAGCCAGGAGGAAGAGTATATTTTGTTATGCAGAGGAGGCATGAGGACTAAAAAGGCAGGTATTTTACATTCAGGCAGAAGAATATGATTTGGAAGTAGCATTATAGAAGGAAAGGATTCTTGACCTTCCTGGCCTAAAGGAGAAATGGGGTTCTACAGAGGAAATCAAACAAAAACATCAGTTCTTAGCTTTGATACCACAGAATCTGTAGGTAAAGTGTGCATAAGAAAGATTTGAAAGAATATATAACATTTGACTAGCTTTTCACCTATTCCCAGCTCAATTCTTACTTCTGCTCATCTGTTTAAAAAAGAGAAAAAAATTAACAACTCTGGCTGGGAAGAAGGGAGGAAGTCACCAAGATGGAGAGAAGACTGGTAAGTATCTTTAAGAGGAGATTAACATGAATTCATATTATACTTCTTGGGTTGCGGATATAGCTCAGTGGTAGTGTACACCTAACTGTGTAAGGCTCTGGGTTGTATACCCAGTAAAAAAACACACACGAGAAAGTCATATTACACTTCTCTTTTTCATAGATTCTTTGAAAACAATATATTTAGCATCTTAACTTTGTTCACAAAAACTCAATTGTTTTTAGTTGAACTTATGCTCAAAATGCTTCAAGTTATCTCTGGCCTACAAGTCTGGGTAGTGCTTTTGAACATTAAGCACACTACCAGTAATGTGTTACTATGTTTGTGTGTTTTTCAAGCAGTTCAATTCCAAACTGTTTCCAAGCTTAAAACTTTTCCTAGTACAGAGATTTTCAAAAGTTCTAAAAATCTCTTTTCTTTAGAAACCCTTGTTTTAACAGAAGACTTTTCCTTAGCTCCAACATCTATCTTGCAAATCATTCTAATTTTTATTTTATATGAACAGTACTTTAAAGTACAGCATCCATAGGACCCTATTGCAGTCAGTCTTTTAATATTTTTCCAATAATATGTTGTCAGTTTCTGAAAATTTGTTGGTAAACAGCAACCAATTAAAATACACCTTAAACATATATGATTTTTATGCTTTTATACCTTTGAAAGACTTTCTATTTATAGGATTTAACATATTTACTGACCTCTATTTAGCGCCACTCCTCAGACTTTTGAGAAGAAAGAGAATAAAGAAAATCTTTACCAGATACAACATTTGTGCTGATTTCTACCAAAAAAACGTTCCTGTGCTTAAGCTTCTCAAATCGATTCAGGAAAATGTACCAAAATTAGAAAGTAAAGGTCATTACTTGTCTTAGTCCATTTTGTATAGCTAATATCATTGTGTTAGCTTTTCCTTGCTGTGACCAAAATACCCAACAACAACAACAACAACAACAAAAAAAAAAAAAATGAGGAGAAACAGTTTACTTTAGCTTGTGGTTTAGTCCATGGTTTTTAGAGTCCATTGCTTTGAGGCTAAGGTGAGCAGAACATCATGGAGGCAGGGTGTGGTGGAGGGGCGCTGCTGCATTCGTGGAAGCCAGGAAGCAGATAGGCTGCAGGGAAGATGAACCTTTCTAGGGCAGGCCCACATTGATCCACCTTCTCCAACTAAATCCTACCTGTCTACAGTCACTACCCAGTTAGTTCATTCAAGCTAAGATGGACTGATTAGTTTACAGCTCTCATAATCTGATCATTTCAACTCTGAATATTCCTGCAGCGACACAGAAGCTTTTGGGGAACACTTCATATCCAAACCATAATAAATACACACTGGGTAAGTTAAGAAGAGGGTTTGGTTCACGGTTCTTGCTCCAAGGTCGAGGGGCAACATAAGGTGTTGGCCTTCCAGCAAGAAGTCCCAATGTAGTAGTGTAGGATATCACTGTCCAGAGTCAGGGAGTATGAGAAAGTCCTAGTCAAAGGGGCTTTCATAGCAGACCGTCTCTGGAGATAAGCCATTAACCAACCCATTAATCATGAATGGATTATTCCTCTCATGTGGGCACAGCTTTAATCACTTCATGAAGGTCCCCTGCTCTCTTCTCTTTAATATCTCATAATTCCGACATGAATTTTGAGGGGGGAAAAGCCATATTCGAATCAAAGTAGCCAGTGTACCTGTCAATGATGGGGACAGGGAGAAGATATTGAAACACAGATGTATCTCGAGCAGAACGCAAAATATGTAATTAACATATATAATGAAATTTCAAGTTGCAGTGGACATTCCTCAGATTTGCCTAAACTTCAAGACAAGAGCATCCCGGAATGAGGTTTAAAACTCTTTTCAGGGGGTACCTTTTCAAGGTCTGCTCCTCCTGGGTCACCCCTAACCAGAACCTCTGATGCGCGTCCAACTGAAGCAAAGAAAGGTGCGGCCACTTTTGACCCAGCATTCTCTAACAAGGCCCAGGAATAAAGAAACCTGAGGCACTGCGCAGTGTTTAGGAAAGCAAGCAAGGCCAAAAGGAGGTAAGAAGAAGGAGGGGGGTGTTCTGGAGCCCCTCCCACTCAGCTGTGTAGCCGGCGCACATCCTTCTTGGCCTCCAGAACGAGGCGGGAGTTGGGGAGGAATGGGGCCCCCAGTCTAGCCACAGGGCTGCTCCCAACAGAACCCAACATTGCAAACTCCGCCTCCCTCAATTCCCGCCCCCTTCGGCGCCCCACTGGGAAGGCGATGCGGGCGACGCCCTATGACGTCACGCGTGAYGCGGCGCAGTGGGCGGGAGAGGGTGACTGTGAGGCGTTTCGCCATGGCGACCGCTCCTGGGGACGCTTTTTCTTTCCCAGCTTGGGGATGCCCCTTCCAGGTTTTATACTCTAAGCAGTGCCGAGTCGAAGGGCGTGGGAGCTCTCTGACCTCTCGCTATGGGGGAGGGAAGAGGCGAAAACTTCGACGGTGTGAGCACCGACCGCCTTAAACTGGAGTTGCTGGAAGAAATCTACCAGAAGTGAGTCGGCGGCGCGCGGCCTCCCGCGCCCGTGAGGGGCAGGTGCGCGACCCCAGGCCTCCCGGGGCGGCCCTCGGTCCGTTTGCTTCAGACCGAAGCCGTCAAGGTTGCTGAAGGACAGCGTCGGGATTAATAGAGGGCACGTCAGACGACTTCCCCTAACAGTGTTCTGTGCTAGAGGTTGATTTGCCTTTTGATTAGTTATGCCTATCGGYATGCAGGTTGCACTTTCTTATGGTTAAAACTAAGTGGCCCCGCGCGGTGGCGCACACCAGCAATTATAAATTCTGGGGAGGCCGAGGCAGGAGGATCGCAAGTTCAAAGCTAACCTCAGCAATTTAGGAGGCCCTAAACAAATTTAGTGAGACCCTGTATCCAAAAAAATTGCACCCCTGGTACAAAAAAAAAAAAAAAATAAAGCAAGAACAACAAAAACAGAAAACACCACCAACAACACTTCCCCCCAAGTGTATTTGGTACATATGTTGTAATTTTAAAATAGGTCTTTGTTTTTTATGTTCTACTGAATTCGGGTTTTTCAGTWTAAAATCCCAAGGAATTTATTTAATATTTCATCCTTTAGAAGAACTTAAGAAATGGTAACTTTTTGTAAAAATCGGGCCTTCTTCCTATGCTTTCTTTTTCTCTTTCTTTGTGCAATGCTGAGGATTGAACTCAGGACCTTGCCAATGGTAGGCAAAGGCACTATTGAAAGCATGTTCATCTCCAGTTTCTCAGATGCTTTTTCATTTCTTGTAACAAAGGCATAGACAGGTTTATTTAGCAAGATAGATAACACATTCAAGGGAGAATGTGTGCTGTCTCCAGAGTAAGCAGCCTCTCCTATGCTTTTTAGAACAATATTAGTATTTCTTGTTAAAACTGACTATGCTATTTTTAAAAAGATAATCTTATCACACCCACAGGCCCCATGAGAATTGACTTTTCTGTGGGTCCCATAGCATCCTGTGCTTTCCTCTATTATAACTCCAGTCACACTACTAATTAATTTATTACTTATTTTTTAAATCTTGAACCAAATGATAAACATTCTGAGGATCAGGTTCTGCCTTCTCTGAGGCAGCAAGGGTTCAGAGCAAGAATTTAGAGGAATTCTGCATAAATTTAAATCTCGGCTCTTATTACTCAATAACTATAGGACCTTATTTAAGTTAACTAACTTGCTTAAGCCTCAGCTTTCTCTTAAGAGTGTTATATAAATAGTTACACTTCCTATTGTTGTTGCCAGGATGGAATGAAATGTGTGAAATGTTTAGCACTGGCTAGTGCATTCCAGGTAAGCATTCAAGTGGAATTGAGCTGCTGCTGTTGATATTGCTCATTGTACTGTCTTTAACAAAATGCCTTAAATACAAAGGGCATTCAGAAATATTTACGAATGCTTTTTTAAAGAAAGTGTGTGTGTGTGTGTGTGTGTGTGTGTACGTACATGTGTGTGTTTTATTAGTGTTTCTTTTTTCTTTTTTTCAGGTTGACACTTGTTGCCTGCTGCCCTTGTTAGCTCTTCCTGTCTGTAATAATTTGCAACTCTTATTTTACAGTGTTCTGAGAAACTCAGTAATCAATTTCTTTGGGATCATATTTAAGGGTAATTGGCTTCCCAGTGATTACCTGGGAGCTTTGAGCCTTAGTGCATATTTAATCCTTTCTGGACCTTATTAATCAGAAGCTTGTATTTGTCTGATTCTTGATACTCAACCATGTGTTCAATAAATAATGTTTAATGATATTCAATAAATAAATAATATTTCATAAGAAATTATTCCTAAAGTACTGGGGGTTACATGTATTAGTTTTCCCATGTTATTTTTAATTGAATCATAATTAACAAAATATTTTTAATAACAGGGATATAGTGCAACTCTCAGTGTTTGAATTAAGACACAAGATAGCAGAAATGGAAGCCAAACCCAATACTGACAATGAAGGTATATACGTAAATATTTATATATATATATATCTCTTGTATAATTATTGTTCATTTTACCAAGATACCTATGGTACATTAAATTACATATATTGAATAATAGTACCAAGATTTCAGTATTACTCTCTGGTGGCATTAATAATAATTTATAACAAAAGCTTTAAAACTGATACTTCAGAATGTCAAACCATTACTACATAATTATTCAAAAATGTTATTTCACAAAACTTTTCTTATATGACATCAATATACTGTTTCCTTTGTAAATAATAAAATATCATAAATATTCTGTTCAATTTATGTCATACCCTTCATATATTAACTACTGGATCTTCAGTTTAACTGTAAAATCCTGATCCTAAGATTTATCTGTTTGTGTTGGAAGAATTTTTGTGTGTAGGGGTGTGTGTGTGTGTGTGTGTGTATTATATATATGTACACATACCCACATATCCTTAAAATTTATAATGTATGCCAGATATTTATTAATTCCACAAATAGTAATTGAGATTCATATATCAACACGTTGGAAGACCTTTATTTTCCCTATTTTAAAGAGGTGCAGTGACTATTGGGAGAAGGTGACAAACTAAAATATGATTATGAGAAGTGATATATGTTCTGCAAATAGAGAAACAGGATCTTAGAGAAAGAGAATCTAGCACAATTTTAGTGAAGGTATAAAGACAGCCTTTACAGAGGAAGCAGTGCTTAAACTAAACAGAGTAAGGAGTTTATTAGAATTATGGGGGTGTGCTTTGGTTCTTAAATTCATTTGTACTTCTTTCTTATACTAAGAAGCCATGAACAAAAAGAGATTAGTAGCTAATTGAGAAATAAAATGCTGCTTTCTATGAGAATCTAATACTCTGTTAAAGCTTGCTTGGAGAATACTACACCAAGGCTGAAGTAGCATTATATATCTATCTGTACTTTAGGTATAATTAGCTCTGTGGGGGCAGACTTTGAGTTCACCTACCAAATAGTTGTATTGGCAAGGGTAATACACTCACCTACCCAGTTAGAGAAAAAACAGAAGACATGCTCACACATACAGTACGGAGTCCAGTACCTATGCCCAATAGTAATATATTGCTCACTAGTCATAATATAAACTGTTCTTATGGAGAGGAAGTAGGATATGGCCACAAAGAGTAGGAAAGCTTTTGCCTCAGTAGTCTAAACTAAAGTCTTAAATGAATAGCAAAAACACTTGTCCCTTAATCAAGGCCAGGAACTCTGTCAAGTGAGGTGATCCTTTTTTTGTTTGTTTGTTTGTTTGTTTCAGTGAGAATAGCTAGTATTTGTGTAGTGCTCTAAATGAATTTTCAACTACCCTTTTAAAAAGTATTATTACCCCATTTTATAGATGAGAAAACTGAGATCCTAAATGACTTTCTGAAAAATACAGAGGTAATGAGTAATATTTCTGAAATTTTCAATCCAGGCATGCTGGTGTCAAATTCCATCCACTTAGCCTCCACTTCTTTCTACCTCTTAAGCTTAAATTTGCACCTTGATTTTTTAATTTTTAAATTTTTCATCTAGAAAATTGAGCCTTGGTTTACAACTGGGAATAGAAATAGGCCAGGTTTGCCTAGTACATCCATGCTTGTCTAATTTTTTTTTTTTTAACTCATTCCAATCAGAAGTTTTGCCTGCTCAACTGTGTAACTATTCTTGTCCAGGTTACCAATGATTTCTAGTTTGCTAACTCCCATGTCAGCTGAGTCATCTTATATGATCTCATCAGCTGATCTCAACTTGTCCTTGAAGCCCTTTGTTCACTTGGCCTCTGGGACACCATACTCTCTTGGTTGTCCTACTTATTAGTCACTTGTCATTTCTTCATTTCTAAAAACTCAAGAATGCCTCAGGGCTCAGTCTCCGTCTTCTGACATTTCTTCAATATGTGCTTAGGCAATTTCTGGTCTTCTAGGGTTAAATACCATCATATACTGACAACACACATCCATATCTCCACTTTGGACCTCAAGTCTGATTTCTAACCCCAAGTACCTTTGGCCATTTCATAATATATTAAAAGAGCAAACATTTTTTCAAACTTAGTAAATGCTAATTTTTTTTGTGAAACTCAATTTGTCTTTCATATTTCAAAACAAAGAAAAGAATGCTTTTTTCTGGTATAATACTTAATGATGAAAAATTAGAGAGATTTCCATTCCTTGGGTTGGGAGGAAGATGCCTATTGCCATCATTCAAATGTATTAGTGATTTCAAAGTTCTAGTCAAACAATAAAATGTGAAAAAGAAATGAATGATAGCTATTAGGAAGAGATAGACTTTTATGATTTCCATTTTCATAATTTAATATCCAGAATTTTCCAGAGGATCAACTAAAAACTAGTAAATATTTAGTAAATATTTAGAAAATGATTAGATAAAGCCTGATGCAATGGCATGTGCCAGTAATTCCAGTGGCTTGAGAGGCTAAGGAAGGAAGATCACGGAGTTCAAAGCCACTCTCAGCAACTTAGTGAGGCACTTAGCAACTCGGTGAGAACCCTGACTAAATAAAATATAAAAAAGGGCTGGGGATGTGGCCCCTGGGTTTAATCTCTTATACACCCCCCAAAAATTGTTGGATATAATAATAGAATAAATGTTTATTTTTTAAAAAAAAAAGTTTCAGCAATAACAAGCTAAAAATATAGTGTTGAAATGACCTCAATCACAATTTCAACATAGTCCACAAAATATCTGATCATTTCTTTGGCAAGAATTATGCAGAACCTGTATGAAGAGACAACAAAAGACTATAACTATAAAKGAATAATTGTTAAATCAGAATTCTCACCTTATTCTACCCAAGAGATTTCATACCAAACAGAAACCGTGAGGGAAAAAAGAAATTGAAAAAGTAAGTTTTCCCCTTAGCCCATACCTTGTTGAAATTCTAAGCTTTGTTAGTGGGAGACACAAAAAACAGCAAAAAAGGTGGACTGGGGATGCTGCTTAGCGGTGAGCACATGCCTAGCAAGTGTGAGGCCTTGGGTTTGATTCCCAGCACTGCGAAAATAAGAAACAAGAAGTCTTTGTGAACTTTGTTTTAGTTAATGAGCTCAATTTATTTTTATTAGACATATAAGATTTCTATTGGAAAGAAAACTAAATTAATAAAAATGTACCACCCATTTATGTGCTCAAACCCTGAGCATCTCAGAATCTCTAGTGGAGTGGGGAAAATGCTAGGAGTTAGCCTGTAAAAAGAACATTGACTTTAGAATCAGGTGGCCCCTGGCTTTAATATTACAGCTGTGGGACTTAAATGTATAACTTTGAATAAATTACTTAAAACCCTCTTTGTCTCAATTTCCTCACATGTAATTGGTGAAAAATAAACATAACTTGTAGGGTTGTTTGAGGACTAATATATTGAGTTTATCCTCTTCATTATTTTTTTTTTAAAGAGAGAGTGAGAGAGGCAGAGAGAGAAAGAGAGAGAATTTTAATATTTATTTTTTAGTTATCGGCGGACTCAACATCTTTGTTTGTATGTGGTTCTGAGAATCGAACCTGGGCCGCACGCATGCCAGGCGAGCTCGATACCGCTTGAGCCACATCCCCAGCCCTCCTCTTCATTATTTTTAAAAAATATTTTTTAGTTATAACCTTTATTCTATTTACTTACCATTATTTGGTGCTGAGGGTCAAACCCACTGCCTCACATGGGCTAGGCAAGTGCTCCACCGCTGAACTACAATCTCAGCCCCTTCATTATTATTATGTTAATAAGGAGGGAAATTTTTTCCTCTATGGGAGAACTAAATATTATAAATGGGTTCATTCTCACCAAATTAACTTACTGGTATCACGTATATCTTATTAAAATACCTAGGTTCCCCCCACCCGCAACTTGAAAAATTTAACTCTAAAACTAATTGGATGAATAAATAGGCAGAAATAACTGTGGAAAGAGATACTTAGAAAATAAATTCATTAACACTTAAAATGAATCAACAGAACAGTAAAATTAGTCTTTTCAGATTCTCATAGACCAAAAATGGGTAGGTTAAACCACAGACATTTATTTTCTGACACTTCTTGTGGCTGGAAGTCAAATCAAGATATTGGCGGGGTTGGTTCCCTTCAAGCACTCTCTCCTTGGCTGGTAGATGGCCACCTGCTCTGTATGTGTTCACACATAGTCTTCCCTTTGTGTCTGTAACCTAATCTCCTTTTATAAAAACATCTGTTGTATTGAATTAGGGCTCATGTATGACCTCATTTTGCCTTAATTGCCTCTTAAAAAATCCTGATTCTAAATACACTTTCAGAGGTACTTGGGTGTATGACTTCAATATATGAATTTGGTGTGCAGGTGATGGAGCAGGGTATGTTGGATGTGAAAGAGTGGTTAGAACACAATCCATCCTGTAACAGGAAAAGAGTCTAGTTTATTAAAACCATAATGCAATACCATAAAATTTAGGACCAGGTTATTTTTAATTTTGAAAATTGAATCTTTCAAATTAGTTTTTTAGTTACTTTAAAAAAGTACAAAACCATTTTCATTTATGAATTGGGGGACTAGATTATTACAAACAAAATCTGTGCAATACTCTGAAATCAGACCCCAAATAATCAATGCATTATTCTATTCAGGCTCTATAACAAAATACCTTAAGTGGCTTAAATGATAGAAATTAATTTTCTCATAGTTCTTGTGGCTGGGAATTAGTAGATCAAGGTGCTGGCCAGTTCAATTGATGGTGAGAACTCCTTTCTGATTTGGAGACACCTATCTTCTTACCATGTACTCACATGGCAGAATCAAACAGAGTCAGTTAACTCTCTGGTTTCTCATCTAATAATACTAATCTTACAGAATTATAGCCTCAATGTTGTGACCTCATTTAAGCTTTATCACCTCCTCACAGACTCTCTCTCCAAATACATACAGTCAAATTGGAGGACAGAGCTTTAATATGAATTTTGGGGGCAGGCACATAAATACTTAGTCCATAACAATCCTTTAGCATCACTTTCTAAGTACTATTTTCTCTCTCCCTATCATCAAAAACGAAACAAAATAAAAATGTCAGACTGCCTGCTGCATTTGGGAAAGGGCTTCTGGGTAGAAAACTGGAGCCAAGGAGCCTATTACCACTGATGTTTTATTGGAATTTAAGGAAGCTAAATGAAAAGTGATGAATTATTCAATAAATTCTGTTTGAAAAATTGGTGTAATATTGAGAAAGAAATGCTCATTTAGATCCTCATTCTATATACTTAATGCTAAAAACTTCCAAATGGATTATAAAGTTGATATAAAAAAGAACAAAAAGCATAGATGAGTATCTGTCTCCCCATCCTTATTTCTCTTTCAGATCAGATGTCCTGATCCACTTAATTGAAAAATTTTTCAAATGTTCTAGTTAAGTGTGTTTTTTTTTCTTCCTATTTTTATTGCTGAATGATAGCAAGGACAATGTCTATTTTATTTTTGCATCCTTAGTTCCTTGTAGAGTACCACATTAGTCTTTTTCCTTTCCATGATAAAAATATTTCATTTTTCAGTCTTTTCAAATTAAGATAACTTCATTGTTGCCATCATTATAACTGTAGTGATTAGAAAAAACATGACTGAATTATTAAAACCCATGTGGTGTGCTGTGGTTTGAACGTGTCTCTCCAAAACCCAATGTGATAATACAGAGAAGCTGGGCCTTTAAGAGGGGATGTGGCCATGAGGGCTCCTCTTTTTTTTTAGTGGGATTAAGGCCCTGACCAAAGAGGCTTCACACACCACATTTTGTTAGCTTGCTTGTCTGTCACATGAAGACACAGAACAAGAAACCTTACCAATGCCTTGATCCTGGACTTCCTTGCTTCCACAACTGTGATAAATAATTTCTGTTCTTTGTAAATGACCCAGTCACAGTGTTATAGCAGCACCAGATGGACCAAACATAGTGCCATTTTTCAACCCCAAACTGTTCTTTTTAATAGTTGAAAAAGTATTATTTGGCGTTGTTTTTTTAATGGGACTTATCTGTATTACTAAAAAAGATCTTAACAGGTAAATATTGAACTGTTTCATGTTATTTGAGTGAATAAATAAGAGTTGGTGGGCTAATCTTGATCTCCCCCCACCTCAGGCAGTGAATGGAAAACCCGTTATGAGACACAACTAGAAATGAATGATCAACTAGAAAAGCAAATTGCATCTCTTAAAGAGAAAATGGAAAAATTCCGTGGGAATCCTTCAGGTACAAAAGCAATTATATATATGTATTATAAGTTGAGTTAAAACTGATAAAATATCAATTGTTTATATTTGCTTTATTGTAGACAGTCTATCTTCTATTCGTGTCTATGAACGAATGCCTGTGGTGAGTAAAAGATGGTTAAAAAGAATAACTGTAGGAAAGTATGTATATTTTCCCCCAGACAGATTCTAAACAAAATTTTAAAGATTGTCAACAGGATCCAAATAAAATATTTTGTTCAGGAGAACTGTTCCTTGCATCCAAAGAATCTAGTTGCAGGCCATCAGTTTACTCTCCCTGTTGGAAAGCAGAGCATAGATTCTGGTGTATGTACAGATAAGCAAAATAGAAGAAAAAGAATCTGAGTAGTCAGGCTAGCAGGGAACCTGAGCATGTCTATTCCTTCTAATCAGAAGAAGCCTAATATTTAACACAAAGAATATATCTTCTTCATTTCTAAAACATGTCCATTCTAGTTCCTCTGTAATATACAAACACATGTACTCACATATACACATCGATGTATTTGTGTACATACATATACACATTACATATGCAAATATATTAAAGAGAGATATCAAATCCATCAGAGAACCCATAAAGTTACCTTATGAGGATCATGAAACCTCAATGGGCTGACCAATCTGCTTTCTTTTCTGGTTGCCTCTTTGGGAGTTAATTTTAATTCATAATAAATTACTTAAGTTTATCTGTTTTGTAAAGTGTTTTACAAAACAGATTCATTGTTTTTTAGTCATTCAAATCTATACTTTAAAATGTACAGAATCCTGAAGCATGACCTTGTTGGATTCAGAGCCTGCTTAGAAATAGCCTTTTCCTCAAAACTCTGAATTATTATTTCAGAAATACTCAGAAAAAAATCCTGTGAAAAGCCAAGGGTACTTCTATTGAAAATGCAAATGCAATACTCTGTGAAATTTGTAGGATTTAACATATCATTATCATCAKCAGCAGCAGCTTTAATTGAACATATACAGTATGCAAATTAATTTAATTTCCCTTTTTTCAGTCTTGCAACAACCGCATGAGGTGAAGTTTAACCTTATTTCCTTTGATGCATGTGATGATAAGCTTAAACAGATGAAAGAATTTGATCAGGCTCACACAGTCTATAAGTGGAGCCAAATTCTCTCCCTCTATAAAAAGTCTTCATGCATTTACTATACCTTGCTGTAGTGCTTATCAGAAATAACAAAAAAAAAAGTTTTTTAAAGAGCTATAGGTAGAGTACTAAGTTGATATACAGAGAATGAGAATGAGAGCATTTATGGTTGCTTTTCTTTGAATAACTGAAATTCATTATGAAAGTTACAGGGAAATTCTGCATTTTCAAAAATAATGAATTGTGGAGAAATAAGGCTATTTGTTCCTGTTACTTTCAACTCAGAAATGCTCATATTTCTGTGTCTTGGAAGTTCAAGAAAATAACATTTTCTTTTTCTGTTTTTTTATTTTTAATGGAAAAAGTAGCTTTTTTGTTTTTGTCTCCTTCTGCATTATAGTGGAGTTATATCCCCCTCTTGTGGCATTCAGAAATTGCTGCTAGACCATTTTCACTATAGTGCCCTTTCTTAATTGCAGGTAGAATTTCAATAATACCTATAGAATATAAAGTATAAAATACTCCCTACAGAATATAAAATATTCTGGCTACCTGATTTTGATAAGGCAGCCATAATCCTCAAGAAATTAAGTATCAACAGCCTAATATTTATATAACATGGTAAAGTATTTTATAGTGTATTTATTCCTGCTACCTGAGAATGAGATTCTGTAACATTTATATTGRTAAACTAATTTTTCTTGGTGTTATTCTTGAATAAAGTGTGCTTCTCTGTAGACCTAGAGGCAGATAAGTAGTATTTCTCTTCAGAAAAGGACTAGGATATAAAGAACAGCATAGGCCAAGCAGAAAGAGAACTTAAATTCAATATAAATGGAACTAGTCCTTCTATTCTCTGGGCAGATGCCCTGCACAAGAATTTAGGTTTTCTTAAACAATTAAGTCCAGGAAGGCTTTTCTGGACAGCAGGTATTAGGAATCTGGCCTACAGTTGATGATGGAAGTATCTATTCAACTACTCAGCAAAAAGCACTGGTTTCCAAGAATCCTATATCCAGTAAGAGATCTCTTATTATATAAGAACAAAAAATATATTAAATCATAATATTCAATATAAAGACCAATATTTGTAAAATTCAGACATGATGTTTATTTATAAAACATTTTAAATTCCTTTTAAGTTGATAGAAGACATACACTATTTGTTTTTGTGGGAGAGTATGGATTTACATTATTTGTAAATTTAATCTTTATCGTCATGGATCATTCCATCTTTAGGACTAACATATACAGACATACTTATAAAATTAATGTAAATTTTCTTGAATACTAATTTTGAGTAACTTCAAATTGTAGGCTTGTTTATGGATGACAAAAGGGATGGATACTAGGGTTTTTGTGTGTGTGTGTGTGTGTGTGTGATTTTGGAGATTGAACCCAGGGTCTTATGCATTCAAGGCAAGCACTCTACCAACTGAGCTGTATCCCTAGCCTGGATACTCAATTTTGACGGGCACACATGTAATATTTAAAAATACTATTTGACAAAAATAAATGTTATTTTCAAACTAGATCAATTAAATGGGCTTGATTTTAATATTTTGAAAAATTACTCTCAATTAGTTTAGAGCTTTCATCTAGTTTTATTTTATTGTTTTTTTGAATCACTTTTCTCCTCTGAAGGTATTATAGAGTATATTATCTTGAAAATATCTTTCAGTGGTATAGTTATTCACATTTAATTTTAGCACTATGTATCATTTAAGGATTGCATTTGGCTGTATATGAGAGAAAGCTCTAAGCAATCACTTTTTTTCTATTTTCCTCCCTCATGTAATAAAAAGGATTAGAGGTTTGCATTTATTGGTGCAATGACTCTATAAAGCCCTCAGGAATTCAGGCTTCTCCTCATTTTCCACTCATGTGTGAGGGGCTAGAAATACAGTGTTTTGTGTAAGTAGGAAGAAAATAGATACAGGGTATGCAGTTAGTTTTATCTACCATACAAGGTCATTTTATTTTAAAGTCTTTGCATTTATTTAAAGTTTTTGTTATTTCATTTTAAAGTTTTATGTGTTTATTGATATTATTTGAAAGTTAAAGACAAAAATGAAATCATAAAGGCAACAGTGCCTACTATTTATATTTGTTTGGTAATTTTTATATGCATATATTTATTAAAAAGAATAACCTAATAAATCAGGAGAAATAAAAGCAAGAATTAAACAGGATTGCACTTAGTTTTGTTTTTTATATTTTAAATACAATTTTAGCCTTACTACACAATTTTGTATTCTATATTAGAGCACCTAAATCAATTACTACTTATGTTTCTTTTTTAAAATCTGATTTGCTATACATGATGGCAGAATGCAATTCATTTCATATTACAAATATAGAGCACAATTTTTCAAGACACTGATTGTACACAAAGTATTTTCACACCATTTGTGTCATATACATGTACTTAGGGTAATTATATCTAACTCATTCCATCATCATTTCTACCCACTTGTCCTCTCCCTTCCCCTCTCTTCCCTTTTCCTTCTCTAAAGTTCCTCCATTCCTCCCATGCTCCCCCCATCAATCGCCATTATGCATCTGCATCCTCATATCAAAAAAGACATTAGGCCTTTGGTTTTTTGGGATTGACTTGCTTTACTTAGCAAAATATTCTCCAACTTCATCCATTTACCTGCAAATGCCATGATTTTATTCTCTTTCAATTCTGAGTAATGTTCCATTGTATATATATATACCACTGTTTCCTTATCCACTCATCTACTGAAGGGCATCTAGGTTGGTTCCATAATTTAGCTATTGTGAATTGTGCTGCTATAAACATTGATATGGCTGTGTCCCTGTGGTATGCTGTTTTTAAGTCCTTTGGGTATAAACCAAGGAGTTGGGATAGCTGTGTTGAATGGTGGTTCCATTCCAAGTTTTCCAAGGAATCTCCATACTGCTTTCCAGATTGGCTGCACCAATTTGCAGTCCCACCAGCAATTTATAAGCATGCCTTTTCCCCCACATCCTTGTCAACACTTAATGTTGTTTGTCTTCATAATAGCTGCCATTCTGACTGGAGTGAGATGATATCTTAGAGTAGTTTTGATTTGCATTTCTCTAATTGCTAGAGATGTTGAACATTTTTTTCATATGTTTGTTGATTGATTGTATGTCATCTTTTGAGAAGTGTCTGTTTACTCTCTTGGCCCATTTATTGATTGGGTTATTTGGTTTTTTTTTTTTTTTTTGGTGTTAAGGTTTTTGTGTATTTTATATATCCTGGAGATTAGTGCTGTATCTGATGTGCTTGTGGTAAAGATTTGCTTCCATTCTGTAGGCTCTCTATTCACCTCACTTCTTATTTTGCTGAGAAGAAGCTTTTTAGTTTGAATCCATCCCATTTATTGATTCTTAGTTTTAATTCTTGTACTACAGGAGTTTTATTAAGAAAATTGGGCTAATCTGACATGATGGATACTTGGGCCTACTTTTTCTTCTATTAGGCGCAGGGTCTCTGGCTTAATTCCTAGGTCCTTGATCCACTTTGGGTTGAGTTTTGTGCATAGTGGGAGATAGGGGTTTAATTTCATTTTGTTACATGTGGATTTCCAGTTTCCCCAGTACCATTTGTTGAAGAGGCTACCTTTTCTCCAATGTACATTTTTGGTGCCTTTGCCTAAAATAAGATAACTGAAGTTATATGGGTTAGACTCGATGTCCTCTATTCTGTACCATTAGTCTATAGGTCGATTTTGGTGCCAATACCATGCTGTTTTAGTTACTTTTGCTCTGTAGTATAGTTTTAGGTCTGGAATAGTAATGCCACCAGCTTCATTCTTCTTGCTAAGGATTGCTTTGGCTATTCTGGGTCTCTTATTTTTCTAGATGAATTTCATGACTGCTTTTTCTATTTCTATAAGGAATGCCATTGGGAATTTGATTGGGATTGCAGTGAATCTGTATAGTGCTTTTGGTAGTATGCTCATTTYGAAGTATTAATTCTGCCTATCCAAGAACAAGGTAGCTCTTT